TCATCTGCAGGGTCTGTTGAATAATTAAATATAATATTAAATAATAGAATGGATGTAGATTTACCCCATCTGCTGAAGTCATGCAAAGAAATGATTTCATCACAGACTGGGAAGGTGTGGAAAAATCGGCAATCTCTAGAACAGACTTGTTCTTCACAATTTAAACCCTGCCAGGCCATCAGGCTTGGTTTACCTAACTGGCTAAATCTGCAACCTGGAGTCTGATCCCGGGCTTTGTGGGACCGGGTGGCCTCCGTGGCACACACAATTTGCTCTTTTAGCATTAAAGATATGGAAGATGGTGCCCTCCTCTCTCCCGCTCAGAAGTCAGCCTTTCATCTGAGACATCTGATTTGTTAGGTGCTCTTCTTTTGAGAGTACAGCCAAACACTAATAGAAATACTGACCGCTAAGAGAATGGTGGGGGCTATTCAAGCGGTCAGGACTGTAGAGAGATTTCAGAGTCCTGGGTGACCAGTTTATTAGAAAATTGCTCTAGGGGCACCTGGGTGGCTCAGTCATTAAGTGTCTGCCTTCGGCTCAGGTCATGATCCCAGGGTCCTGGGATCAAGCCCTGCATCGGGCTCCCTGCTCCGTGGGAAACCTACTTCTCCCTCTCCCACTCCCCTGCTTGTGTTCCCTCTCTCGCTATCTCTCTGTCAAATAAATTAAAAAAAAAAAAAATCTAAAAAAAAAAAGAAAATTAGAAGGGATTAGAGAATGTCTTAAACTGCTTACAATATTTTTAGGAACTAAGGTGAGAGATGCTATTTGTGTGCAAAATAATCCCATAAAGGAATGACTTTTTTTCTTTTTTTTTTAAACCTCACATTTATGTACTGACATCCAGCTGCTCTTACCCATCTGGCAACTTAAAGATTTCCTTTTAGTTTCTTTGATATAGAAATTACCTACCATTAGGTCCGCCACTGGGCCTGTTTAATTGGTATTAAAAGAAAGCCCGTCCTTTGCCTGATCTGCTGTGGTTTCTGACGGAAGCTGTGAGTGACCAGCCAATCTCTGCCCCTGGAGTTGCTGAGAGAATGCAATTACCTTTCTATGTCCTCCAGAGGCTTTAGGGACTCAATTTATGAAAAGGATAACTAGCTCGTTGCTATTTCATGTGTGAAATTTTAATGAATTACTGGCAGTCTAATGGTTTTCTTTCTTTCTTTTTTTTTTTTTTGGAAAAAACAAAAAACCAGAAAGCCTTTTTTAGAATTTTTAACTAATAGCCCTAACGAGTATTTTTGATTAGTCTGTCATTCTTGTTTATTGCAATTGATGGATTTTTACTTTTTTGTAGAAACGCTATTTATGCCCTCGGGAGGTTTTCATTTTATAATTAAAATGCTCTGCAAACCATGTAGGTATGCTCCAAGTGAATGGTCCTGTGTACACACAAATCTTTTTAGTCCTTAAAGGTAATTACATCTGACAATAGGAAATGCCAGAATGCTTATTTAAAGAAGGGAAAGGTTTCTAGTGGGCGTGGGGGGAGCCTTCGTTGTAGGAAATCAGATGCTTTACAGTATTATAAGCTCTTTCCCTATGGACAGCAGGTATAAAACCTCAGGGCATGAACTAAGAGAAATTTGCTTTTAATGCAAAAAGGGGACTAAAAATAAAAATAGATGCGCCTCTTCATTTGGTGGTCCTTTTCCGGTCCCCCACCACCAGATTTTAGGACTTTTTTTTTTTTTCCTCCAGGGTTTGTTTGCAGCTGTTGTCTGCCTTGTTACAATCAGTTGTTCCATAATCGCCTCGTGGGGGCTTCTCTGGAGACTCAGTCCACTGCAGTGCAGGGAATATTCACGATTAACGTGGCGAGATTGCCATGGAGACAGATTGCCGAGTGTCAGGTCTTGCATAGCGTTGGGAATTTACAATCCCCAGGCGTGTTTGTGAGCTGGACAGTGTAGTTAGCAGGGACGCTTCTGGAAGTCATTTCCTCGGTCCTTTGAAGGGTAGCAGTGTTTGGGGAAACCAGCCCTCGGTTCCTCTCTGGGCAGGAGCTGTGCTCTCCCACAGAAGCCTGCTGCTTTTGTTCCTGCTTGTTGCTGCTTTGTTCTCGGCCTGAACGGTTGCTGTAAAAAATAATCCTGACTGCCTGACCTTTGGAATATAAACTGGGAAGAGCTCCTTGTTTAGATGCAGCTTTGTAGGGGACATGTTGATGCTTTGATTCGTAGAATTGTTTAAGAGAAACCAGAAAGTCTGCTGTAGGTTTCGAATATTGTTTTAGTAATAATAAAAATAAAGCTGAAAGGGACTTGGCATAGCTACATTGTGTTTTATTTTTGGAACTGAGCTACAACCACGAAGGTATTATGAAGACCTCAGGAACAATAATCTCAGAATAAGTAAAAATATCTGCAAAGCCTGAAGAGTTGACAGTTTGTTAGGGAGAGGACGGGGTCAGAGATGGACCTTAAACAATAATACCTTTTGTGTGTGTGGTTTTTTTACATATACTATGTTAATTAAATCTTTAAAACAATGCCGTGTTAAAGGCATTATTTATTTATTTTTTCCTTTACGGAAAAGGCAAACCAAGAGGTGAAGCCGGAGATGGGCTTGTGATTAATTAGTCAGTGAGAAGGTGCCGTGTGGCTCAGCGTCCTGCCACAGCACTGGAGATGTTATGCGGTTTGTTGATTACTCTCAGGGTGCCTTGTAGCAGCGTTGGCTGGCTTGATGGACTGCGCTATTCTTGGACAACTCTGGTACTCAGTGATGCTGTGATTCCTCAGTGGGACAAGAGGGCAGATTTAGGGTCACTTGCTGCTGGGTTATAGGGGTTCATCCCTGGGCTCCTTGGCTCACTCCAGCCTCGTGGTGGCGCTGACTCTCAGCCACGTGGAACCAAAAAACACGGGGACTGGGTCTCTTCCAGCTGTGTTTGTATCTCACCTCTGCACTTGGGGCCAGTTGGCGTAGGATAATAGGACTATGTTCTGCCTGGTTTCTGGTCTAGTACTGTTAAGAATTTCACCATCATGCTTAAGCTGAAAGATAAAATTCATGCTGCACTGGATTGCCCTGTTCACAAAGTTCAGAAGGTAGAGCTGAAAAATTAGAGATATGGTCATAACCCAAATAGGGGAAAGATTTATGAAAATGTTCGTGGTCAATTTCTCTGGAGAAGGAACAGAATTGGGAGGTAGGGGTGAAGGAGGGCTTTATAGTTTTTGTGTATGTAATCTGTGGTTAGAAAAAGATAGATATATATATTTAAGCAAAAAAAAAAAATCCTTGGGAACTAGAACATGGTACTGCTTTTATAGCCTGTGGATTTAGCAGACTGTAGAGAATATACATCCTTTAATTGGATGAAATCCAGTCTGCACACTAAGGTCGTTGATGGATGTTTTAAACTAGGAATTGGAACTGAATGAAATATTGATTTGGTTCAGGTTCAGTTCAAAGGCTACTCTGATATTCTGGTTTTGTCTCAGGTCAATAATTTTAGAAAAAGGCGTAGGTACAGTACGGTCTGGTTGAGCTTCAGATGAAACAAGGGTTGACTCAGTCTTATATTCAGCAAAGGAATACTTTATTCCAGGTTCTGCTTCAAATGGAACTGTGATACAAAAACGAAATCACTGGATGTTAATTTTATGTGACAGGGAGGCCTTCCTACCATTTTGTAATTATCAGGTGAGATAATGAAATCTTAAGCAGCAAAGCTAACCCATCACAGAGTGTTTTGTTTATATTGAGATAAATGTGTACAATGTTCAAGCTGCTTCCTTGAGGCATGATGCATACTGCTAATGAAGCCACAGATGAGGGGATCCAGTTTTTTTGTTTTTTTGTGTGTGGGTGGGTGGGTTTTTTTTTGTTTTGTTTTGTTTTTTTGAGAAATTCCCTTTGTCTTAGGGCAGTTTTCCTGGGGACTTTCCACAAAATGCATTTTATGGGCTGAGAGCCGGGTGAGGCTTGGAACATTGCAGATGCTCACTGATTGTAGCAAACTGAGTATGAAGTTGATGGTAAACATTGTGATGGAAAAGTGTACTTGGTTTTGGTTTGCTTTCCAAAAAGATGTTTGAGAGACTCAGTTGGGCCACATGGTTTTCATAGACTCCTTTTTATGCAGTCTGTCTTTACAAGGTGATTTTCTTGTTGGGGCTTCCCAGTGACCAGCTTGAGAACTTCACTTTTCCCCCTCAATTTGAATAGTCAGGTTTGTTAATGCTTCCTTCAAAGGCCTGGACAAACACTGCTCTGCAGATTGAGAAGTGGTATGTGCTAGTCTCCAAACTGAGAAGTGGTATGCAGGGTCTCTGCACGATATTCTGGATTGGCTGCTTTTTTTTTCGTGGGTTTACTTGACATCATAAGAAATTATTCCATTTGAACTCTCCAGATGAGCCGATTAATTCTGACCTCCTAGGGGAGCGGATGGCAGTAGAATGTGTGTTTGTGCGATGTCAGTCAGAGCTCCTGGTTCCAAGGTTACCCTGGTTTTCTCCTTCAGTTTTGGAGATTCTGAAATTCAGAGGATTATGGCCCTGCAGTGTTCTCTTCAACAGTGGTGAATTTCTTTGATTTGGCTGTTTCTCCTAATGAAATGGTAACCCGATTAATTGGTAATTAGGATGCCTCAGAGGTCTGTTTCCCTGTGAATCAACCACCAGATAGAATGTGATTCTAGTAAAACCCCAGAATATTCCCCAACAAAAGGAAAGTGTATGCAAAAAATTCTGGATGTCACTGCAAGCTGTATTAGTTAAGAGTGGTTGGTAGTGCCAGTGTACTTAAGTGATGCATCACGAGAGAGGAAGTATTATATAGCCATCTTCTTCCTTAGACTAGTTTTGGTCAGTTAACTACAACCTTTCTTGTCAGATAGAAAGAACACAAGCTCCAACGCTCTACAGTAACTCTTTACTGTGTCCTCTGTGTCTTTTCAAGGGAGTGGCTATTTTTGGAACTCTTCCTATAGAGTTATATGCTGAATTTCTTCAATCCCCAAATCCTCTTGTGCTTTGCAGGAGAAGCTGTGCCTGAGGATGAACAGATCAGTGCTAAGGACCAGAAGACCCTGGAGCCCTGTGATAACACCCCCATCATAGACAATATTGCTCCTGTTGTTGCTGGCATCTCTGCAGAGGAGAAGGAGAAGTATGATGAGGAGATCTCCAGTCTCTACAGACAGCTGGATGATAAGGTCTGTAGCCAGAGATTATAGTCCTCACTCCGGCACCTAGACTAAAGGTGGCAGGTCCTAGAGCTATTGGCCAGAAGCAGCTTCAAGCCCCATGGCTTCCCAATATCTACCCTAGCTCTCGATTGGGCAGACTCAGGGAACTTGAATCTTGTGGAATGGAAACTTCCATGGAAGTTTGATTGGAAGACTAGAGAGTTGGTCTAGATAGAGAGCTAGTCTTCACTTCTGGACATGGGACCGGGGCTAATCACGGCATGAGAGTGGGGGTGGTGTGAGTGTGCATGATCTTCGTTTAATTGTCCCTTCTGTTTTTCTCTGGGCCTGTGCCTCACCTCTTGAAAACTTCAACAGTAGTGCCAGCTGTAGGGGCAGGGTGGTGTCTCCTAAAGCTAAATGTGTTCTTTCATCATGGAGCTCTCAGGCCCTGGGATGAGGAACCAGTGGTAGTGGCGTGTGGTCTGACAGCTTTTTCTTTACCGGTAAATCCGTTTTCAGGGGCATACTCTTGAATGAAGTAGTTTGAACATGCTGTCCGGTTAGTCCAATTTTATGGCAAACTTTTGGGACTCAAATAGTCATGTAAATGTACAAGTTGGACCAGAGGAAAAGAGACCGTGGAGAACAGTGTATATCGTTCATCCCCAGTGAAGGTCGGGTTAGGAATACCAGAGGCATAGGAAATTAAATTGATGTCTCACGTGATCTTGGCGTATTGCCCTTGGAATATTCTAAATCCTTTCAGTTCATTCCATCACGGTTGCTGGTATTTTTAGTCTGATTTCATCTTTTCTGCTGTGGTTCGGCTCAGAGTGCTTGGGGACACCTCCGGTTTGGCTGAAACAGCTTTGTTATGTTAACATTGTCATTAATCTTATAGGCCTATCTATTCTGAGTGAAGCTCAGTCTGCATCACCTTTACAAGCAAAATGTGAGGCTAGTTCTGCTTATCTGTGACTCTGGGAATTCACATGGTAACCACAGCGGTAAACTGGGGGCACCCTACCCTTCTGGTAACCTATTTAATGAGATATTCACACCCGTGAGAGCTGGGTTAATTGCCCTTTAGGCACTTGACATACTGTTATCCTTCCATTTCTAACCAGATATGATTATGCAAAACGTCAAAGTAAGAGAAAAAGATCAGTAGTAAGTTAACAGTGTATGCAAGTTCTTGATTTCTCCAAAGAAATGCTATTGTTTAAACATACTGCAGTTTTCTTTTTCATTTTAAAATTGATGGGTTCACTTTAGTAAAACCAAAGAATTTTGGATGAGGGATGATAACCTGATTCTATACTTTGTTTTCTATGAATAGACTCCTGCCATAGTTGGAATTGGGATCATCTACTTTGGTAGCATAAGGAGCATTCACTGATCCGAGAGAAATGTTAGGGTCTTGAATGCAGCTTCTGAGATGTAGCGATGAGGACTGAGTCATGAGAGGGGAAAATGCCATGCCTTGGGGGTATTCAGTTGGTAGCTGGCAGAGCTGAACCTAGAGTCTCTGCCTCCTGATGACAAGCCTAGGACACTTCCTGTTATATCATTTTCCTATAGCACATGCTTTGAAGACCCTCTAAAGCACACATTTTGAGGTTAGCATTTGTGGTCTATCACAGGGGGTTGCTGAGATCTGAGAGAGTACTGAGCCCACAAGCCTCAGCCAGAGAGGGCACCAAAGCTGGTGGTCTGACCTTAGAGACTCTACCCATGGACTGCCTGATTATGTCTTATCAGCTGTCATTCTTATTTGTCCTCCTCTTAAAGGTTCTAGAAGGTATTTCATGCTTCTGTTGAGATAGGTAGTTTGATACCTTTGAGAAAACATGAGTTGGGACAGGGCATCTTCATAGATTATTGAGTGGTGGAGCTGAAAGTACCTGGGTCCAGGTGAGAAGCTCGCCCAGTTGTGTGGGGGTTACGTGACTTGCCCAAGTTTGTATCACCTGTAGGTGGCAGAGGGGGAACGAGGTTGTGTATCTTCTGACTCCCAGTGCTGTGGTATTAGCCCTTTAAATGAGGAACGTGTCAACCCTCATGAATCTAATTAGAATGTGGTGGTAGAAAGACTACACGATCTCCTCCCAGCCGCCCCCTCTGCCCCTCTGTCCTGTCCCTCCAGGTGCTATCCCAGGCAGTACTGTGTGATGGAAAAACATACACTTTAGAGTCAGACTTGTGTCTTCATAATGCTGAGGCTTGGACTGATGAATGGCCTACCCTGCTGAAGATGTTTTTCTCATCTGCAGCATGGGGCTCATATCTGTGCCCTCAAAAAGTTGCAGGAGGGATTACAGACTTCTAGTGTGTAGCAATTGCTCAATAAATAGTAGTTTCTTTCTCTTCTGGGTTCTGTTTACTTAACGGAGAACACCATCTTATGTGGTATGGGGGCGGTGCAGAGGTGGTTGGAAGCAGGGTTATAAGAAGAGCAAGTTGGTGTTGGCACTGTTTCTTTTATTTCTCATCTCCAATACTAGTGTTCTGTTGGAAATGTGTGAGAGGATTTAAGTGTAAGTAGAAATATGTCAAACCGTATTTCACTGATTACCATTGCAACGAAAACATTTTTTGTAATTAAAGGTGGCCAGTGACCAACTGACAGCTCCCATTTCACATATAAGAAAATTCAAGAATAAGAATATTTTCTTTTTAAAGATTTTATTTATTTATTTGACAGAGAGAGACACAGCGAGAGAGGGAACACAAGCAGGGGGAGTGGGGGAGGGAGAAGCAGGCTTCACACTGGGCAGGGAGCCCGATGCGGGGCTCCATCCCAGGACCCTGGGATCATGACCTGAGCCGAAGGCAGACGCTTAACCGACTGAGCCACCCAGGCGCCCCCCGCTTTTTTTTAAAGATTTTATTTATTTATTTGACAGAGAGCGAAAGCAGGAACACAAGCAGGGGGAGTGGGAGAGGGAGAAGCAGGCTTCCCGCCGAGCAGGGAGCCCGATGCGGGGCTCCATCCCAGGACCCTGGGATCATGACCTGAGCCGAAGGCAGACGCTTAACCGACTGAGCCACCCAGGCGCCCCAAGAATATTTTCTGAAAAGTGCTTTGAGATCTGTTATATATGGACTAGGTCTTAAGAGTCACCATCAGAGTGAGCATGTTCTAAGAAATGCACTTGAATGTATGGATATAGACTACACAGCACATTTTACTCTGGAAGTTTTGAAAAAAATTTAAAGATTATGGTACACTCTGCTAATTCCTTGGAGAAGTTGCCTTAATAAAGGGTAAGTGCAGTCTTGGAGGGGTCTCTGGTACAAGTGATTCATGTTCTTACAATGTAATCCTTGTTTCCTCACATCCTCCCCGGATGGACTGGTGGCCCTTGGTTTCTTGCTGTACCTCAAAAATCTTTGCACCTGGCTTTTCACCTGTCAGGGAGGAAGCCTACATTTTCAGGCTTTGAAGTGAACACAGTCCAAGAACAAAGGGCTGGCTTCACTGTTCTGCTGCTCTCCTGATTTCTTTTCTTTTTTTTTTTTTTTAAAGATTTTATTTATTCATTTGAGACACAGAGATACAGAGAGAGAGAGAGCATGAGCAGGGAGAGAGGCAGAGGGAGAGGGAGAAGCAGGCTCCCCGCTGAGCCAGGAGCCCGACGCGGGGCTCGATCCCAGGACCCTGGGATCATGACCCGAGCCGAAGGCAGACGCTTAACCATCTGAGCCACCCAGGCGCCCCTGCTCTCCTGATTTCTGTCACTTGTAGCCCTTGCTTACGTATCCCAGGGGAAGGGATGGTAGCTCCCTGATGTTAAACTCCTTGAGTCTTTCATGTTAAGTTGTTTAATATTTATATGCCAGGGAACATAAACACAAAATTGTTCCTGGTAACTGACATTCTAAGTTTATAAAGTAGAAGAGGAAATAGTCTCCTAGTTGTGCAAGTACCATTTTTTGGCAGCTTCACTCTGGTGTAATTTCCCTAATTCTCCCGCCAGAAATCGGATTTGGGGAGGAAAGTCATGAGCATTTTACTGAACCATTAAAGAACCATGGGTGTGAAAAGTTCAGGTAGAAACAGGGCTCCCCAAACAGAGAAATAAGGCCCAAAGATGTTCTACACAAGGGAAAATGAGATACAGTCCTGTAATCCTGATTTGGGGATTTTCTTGCTTCACGGAAAGCATTCACTGTGACACTGCGTCAGTCCAATGTAAATATATGCACAGACACGACCAAATAGGCTAGGGAATATCCATCCCATGGACAATCGGGCTTCTGCGACCCAGGAGAGACCCTTGAGTCCACCCCCGTAACCTCACCTCTGGAAAACCCAAAAGGTGCGGTGCAGAATTTTTCTGGGCTGCCCTGAGAACACCTGGCGGCACAGAGAAGGACCCCAAATACTGAATCTGACTCTGCTTGGGTTTAGAGCCTAGAAGTGTTATCAAATAGGATTTTCTCCTGTTTTTAAAGGAGGGTACACGTGAAGCCAAGTTGTTCTTCGCTGGCTAGGCTTCACATTTGCATTTGAATTCATGAAAATCTTTGTAGGGAAGGCCGAGCCCCCCGTGGTGAAATGTTGTCTGCCTGCTGCTTTGCCCAGGCTGGGTGGACGGCGCGCCCGGGGGGAGGCACACGCCTTAGCACCGGCCCGGGAGGCGGGGGAGGCGGGGGAGGCGGGGGAGGCGGGGGAGGCGGGCGCTCTGGCTTTTGTGGCAGCAACACCTAGTGGCAGGAAATGAGAGTGAGGGAAGCAAATTGCCTTTGGGGAGATCATTTCCCACTTTAATGATAGGCCAGAAAGTAAGCATTACTTTCCCCCACTTCCTAGAGTTTTGTTTTGTTTTTTTAGACTGGCAAGAAAATTAACTTCTTTTTAATTTTTTTAAAGATTTTTTTTTATTTATTCATTTGACAGAGAGAGACACAGAGAGAGAGAGAGGGAACACAAGCAGGGGGAGAGGGAGAGGGAGAAGCAGGCCTCCCGCCGAGCACGGAGCCCGATGCAGGGCTCAATCCCAGGACCCTGGGACCATGACCCGAGCCGAAGGCAGACACTTAACGACTGAGCCACCCAGGCGCCCAAGAAAATTAACTTCTAATCAAGAGGGAGATCTGCTCATGCTGAAGATTAATTCTCTAGTGAATGTTTTCCCATCTCTCTAAGTAAGAGATTTGAGGTGGAAATATGGGTCGCTCCTACTGATCTCGTGGCAGCATTCCTGGTCATTGATGTGTTTGACGAGATTTGGAATATGAATATATTATAGTGCAGATGGTAGAAATTCACTGCCTTATTTTTTGTTAGTGTCTTTGAATTGGGAGGGATAGCTCCAAAGTCCCTTTTGATTCCCAAACCCTAGATCTCTGATTTCTGGATGAACAGGAGTTGAGATGAATGTGTAGGATATTATATATCCCAGAATACCCAGATGTTTCACCTGCTGAGAAAGATGGGCGCAGAGGTATTTTAACCAAATCAAGATCCCAGAGCCAGTCTCTCATCTATGGGGAAGCACCTCACCATTCCCTTCATCTTATTAGCAAGCTTACAGCTGAGACCCTGGTATCCGAGTGTCGTCGGAAAACCAGGATATCAAAAATGACATAACTAACCCAAAAACATTAAACATGATGTTTCGTTTCAGGATGATGAAATTAACCAGCAGAGCCAGCTGGCTGAAAAGCTAAAGCAGCAGATGTTGGATCAGGACGAGGTAAAGAATGCAATAAATTTTTTTTATGAAGTTCTCTTATTACTCTTTGTTTTTGATGTTTGTTCCAGAAATTTAATTTGCAAAGAATTTTTTCAAAAATCATTGAATCATGTGGACATTTCTTGGTAGATTTCCTCTCAGTGCCTGTTAAAGCTGATTTTGGAAAATAAATGTCTGACTTCATAGAGTTCTGAGGTTTTTGAGAGTGAGTAGCTGGTTGCTACACTTAGTCTTTGAAGAGCAGAGATAAAGGAGTTTGGTGGTTGGGCAAGGGTGATTCTAATTCCTCATACCCAGTGCCCAGCACTCCTGTTGCTTGCTGTTTTAGTTTTTTTCAGCTTTGAAATCAGCCGGCTCAGGTCTTTGATGTACACTATGTTCTCGTGTTATCTTGTAGGAAGTAAAAAACCAAAAAAAAAAACCCCACAAAAAACAAAAGTAGAGATGGAGGGGAGGGGCAAGCAAAGAGGAAAGGTGCCTAAGTGCTTAACTAGTATGTGTTTGATATAGTAAAAAGGAGGCAAATTGTTTTCAGTCTTTCCCTGGATAGCATTCAGTTCTCCAGTGAATGTTTTTATTGTGTTGTGTTTTGCTAAGTATTTTACAAACAGGAACCTAAGCAAAGGATAGATAGCCAATCTGTCAAACATAGATGATTAGTGCTTCTCTTGCTGAGGACCATCAAAGTATTTTTTCTCTTTTATGCTTTAGGGTGCTTTCTGCTTTGTTTCTAAAATGCTATGGATTGGATCACCTGATACAGTTCTAGCAGGTGGCTTGGGTTCATGACCTCAGTCCCAGCCTTCCCATAGACCTAATTCTCTCTATAGCCATGCCTTTCTTTTCTTATTCTTTTTCTTTTTTCCCCTTCATTGCTCCAGGGCAATGATTATGCCCCCTGTCCAAACACTTTCCCTTGGCAGGGAGATCATCTATGCCTTTGCAATCAGATCAGTCATTTAAAATTGATTTTTCTCTTAGCTTTGGTTGGGTCTTCCATCTGCTTAGTGTTTCCTGCCTTCTTCCTCCCATTCTATTCCTTTGCATCTCTAACTTGGTACAACTGCCTATGATAAACTTACTTTGTGTAACATTTAAAACGCAGTATTTTTTTTCTATACTGCCAAGGCAGTATCTGTTCTATATAGGAAAATCAGAACATACAATAGGCACAAAGATAATGAAAGCATCCACAAGCCTACTCATTCACTTTTAACTAATGTTAATGTTTGGGATATATCCTTCTATACATTCACGATGAATATTAAGAAAAACTGACAGTTGTCCTTTTATGCTGTTTTGGTTGACTCTGAAATTGGCCTGTTTACCATGTGGAATAATGATAATGTTAACAAGCCATGCAAGTATTATCGTCCTCAGAGATGACTCCCTTCATTCTTTGTTCAGCATTTGGAAGAGCCAGCAGCTACTGACTGTAGGGATTTTTGATGTGTAATCAATTCTTTGAGTTCAGCCTATGCAGCTTTAAACTAAAAAATAAATTAGAAAAATAAAAAAATAAAATAAAAAAACCTGAAAGAAAAAGAAACAGATTTTTGAAGCCTCGATGCTATTTTTTTTTTTTATTATCTAGATATATAGTAGAATTCCTAGTCATCCTGAGCATCCTATATCTACTTTGTTTTGAGAGTGAGTGTGTGAGTGGGGGCGGGAGAGGGCAAAGGGAGAGAGGGAATCTCAAGCAGGCTCCATGCTCAGCGTGGATCCCGACAGGGCTCAATATCATGACCCTGAGCCAAAATCAAGAGTCGACACTTCACCGACGGAGCCGCCCAGGCGCCCCCCCACCCCAGTCTCTTTTTAAAATTACTTTATTTTGGATAGAGCACGGCACAGAAACCCTTGAACATTACGTTCACCAGTTCCATACCATCTCATTTCCCCAGCTTTTGGCTTCCACGAGAAGAGACTATGAGAAGATCCAGGAAGAGCTGACACGTCTCCAGATTGAGAATGAGGCAGCCAAGGATGAAGTGAAGGAAGTTCTCCAGGCCCTAGAAGAGCTGGCTGTCAATTATGACCAGAAGTCTCAGGAAGTGGAGGACAAGACCAAGGCCAATGAGCAGCTGACTGATGAGCTGGCCCAGAAAACGGTTGGAGCATATGCGTCTAGGGGATGGGACTTTCGGCTGCCACTCCTGTACTTAATGTTGATGTCTGTTGACAGACACTATGTAGGGAGGCAGTTGGCAGAGGGGTTTTTCAGTGTTAGAGGCATTCTCTGAAATCTTCCAATAATTGAAGTACTCCATGTAGGTGACTCTTGTCTACTCATTCCGGAACTGAGGATTGTTTTATATCTGGGGATTTTGTAACGTTAGCAGGGATGCCTTGTGAATTGTCAAGGGAGTGCAGACTCTGGAGCCACAAAAAGCCTAGTTAACATGGTGACTTTACAACTGCGAGGCCTTAGTTGAGACATTTAAGCTTTGTAAGTATTCATTCCCTTATCTGTAACTAATGGCGTCAATAAAAGGCTCCTTTCAGTACGTGAGCATCAGAGACCATTGACACAAAGCACTTAGTGAAGGCCCGTGCATATGCTGCAATGCTAGGAAGTACATCGCAGATATTAGAGTACCAAGTGAGTGTGAGGGACCCATGGAAGGTATGGATTCCCCTTCTTGTTTACACCCTCCTGGATAAACCCATTCCTTCCCCACAACTTCCTGTCCTAGCCAAGGCCTGACGGTCCTGGTTGGTTTGTTGGCCTGTTTTAAGCCGGTGCTTCAGTCTGCCCATTTCCTAATTTTCAGATTCTCCTGGGGAAGGATGCAGGGTGTGCACAGTGAGCTAGCAGCAGGGCCAGCGAGCAGTCGGTGAGGTGGCTGGCTGTGGGATGTTTCCATTTTGTCCTTTCTGCTTGGAAAACGGGTGGTGGGAAGCTGAGTGGCTGTAACTGGCTGCCCTTGGCACTTTGGCCCAATGGCCTGGTATCATGGGATTGTGCCCAGCCTGCTGGGTGGAAAACATCCAGTCCTCCTGGGCAAGGAGAAGCAGATGGTGCAGGAAAGCGCTAATCTGCTGACCGTAGAGCTGACGGGAAATGCTCCTAATTCTGTGTATGCAACTGCATGAAGGAAGGCTTTTTATAAGTGGCTTCCCGAGATGGGAACTACTGCTTCTGTGGCCTTTAAACACTGAATGAAATAAGCAGTGGCAATGCCAAAACCAAACCAAGAAGAAGCAGGAAAACAAACCAGAAGTCACCTAGGAAAGGAGGAGACTTCGATTTTCTCTGCTTACTGTTTTCTGCAGGGTTCTTTAATGAGTCCTTCATATTAGTTGTATCTCAAAACAATGAAGCATTTTCCATAATACAGTTCTTATTTTCTGCCAAGCCCAAGGATTACTAGACTGGTTTAGAGTACTATTTTTAGTCAGATCCCGAAAAAATGCTCTAGTATAATAACCGAGTATGGCAGACTTGCATAATTTGCATTAAGCTCCATAGCTCTGTAATTTAGCGAAATTATTTTCTTTGTTGGCCGAGTTAGTACCAAGACACCAAAATATGGCTATTCTGGTGATGTGGAGATTCGTTAAGTTCGTTAGTTCTAAATATCTACATACATGAGGGATGGAAAAGAGATGGGTTGTTGATGTTTGGCAGTAAATGGAGCTACTGCTCTACACTAAGATGAAGACTCGGCCAGTTTTGAGAAGAGATGAAGAGTGTTCAATTCAGCTTCATTGGGAAGATGCGAAAACTTTTTAGAAGTTGTTTTCTAAACTCAAGAATGTCTCTCTGGGCCTTCCTGACCCGTCCATTATGAAATCAGATGGGAATTTCTGGAAATGGTCCAGGGAGCAGGTTTGTTTGGATGTGGAGGTGGGGATGCTTGCAGGTGTGTTTGGACCCTGGAGAATGAGGCCTGAAACAGAACATCTCGTGGGTAGGAAGACACAATCACACCTTATCAACCTGAGGGCTCCTTTTGGACTCTATTTTTAATATATTTTATATAATCTATTTTTAATTCTAATAATTTCACTGACCTGCAAATTGTCATGTGATATGTAGACATATGTAGCCAGGTCAGATTCTCCTTTTTATCAAAGAAGGCGGTGCTATACTCTAGTTTGACTTAATAGGACTCTTTTGTTGAAATTGCATGAAATGGTAAAAGAACTCCATCCTACATTATGTTCTTATTCTTTGCAATGCAGTGGGTATGAATTGATGGGCAGCTCTTTTAATTTGCTGTTAAAATGTGTTTTTCAGACGACACTGACAACCACACAGAGGGAGCTGAGCCAGCTACAAGAGCTTAGCAACCACCAGAAAAAGAGGGCTACTGAGATCCTGAATTTGCTGTTGAAGGATCTGGGGGAGATAGGTGGAATTATCGGCACCAATGATGTGAAGACTGTAAGCCAGCCCCTCTCTTATCCTCTCTACCTGCTCCTATAATGGTGTGATCCTAAGCAAGCAGGATCTGTGTTTTATTCTCCTAAGTATCCAGTGCTCAGCGTAGCACTTTGCACCTGCCACATGCTTGGTAATACTGGAATGAACAAACCAAGGGCTGATTGAATGACTAAGTGAATGATTGGCTGGGTACCGCGGAGGAGAAAAAAGTACCTTTTACATATAGGAAATGTCTTCAAATTTTGGTAGGCCTTATACACATCGGATTATTTCTCAAACTTATATGCTAATGTCACAGGAGTTTGGAATTGGATAGGTTAAGCAACACTTCCAGTCTCAGAACTGTGTTTCTCCTTTTCTGTGAAAACTCAACAGAATGAAAATTCCCTAGCCAATCAGTATGAATTAGAAAAGCTTTCAGCTGAAAGTAATAGGATTCTAACAGTGGCTTAAAAAATAAATCCACATTTAATTATTCACAGTATGAGAATTTTGTGGGGAATTTGCTATTCAGGTTGTGATCTGTATCACCTGGGAGTTTGTTGGAACTATAGACTCTTGGGCCACTGCAGACCTACTGAAATTAGAATCTGCATTTTAACAAGTTTGCCCGGGTCAGTCTAACCTTATTCAAGTTTCAGAAGCAAATTTTGATCCAGTGTCTCAACAATGCCAAGGATTCAGGCCTTTTCTTTCTTTCCTTTCTGCTTTCGTTAGCTTGTCACCTTTTGACATCTGCAGACATTTGTGTCATGATATAGCAGGACAGCCACTATATCACCAACCGTCTTCTCTTCACACAGCCACATCCAAGGCAGGATGGGCTGAAGGGGCAGCCAGCTCTCATCAGGAGGGAACTATATCCCATATGTTCCTAGTAGATGTCCCCTTATACCTTATTAGCCAGCATTGGGTCACATGGTCACCCCAAATTGCAAGAGAAAACGGGAAAGCAAAGAAAATAGTACTGCTATCATTGGCTTCAGCCAACTGTGATTAAGTCCCTGGAGTTGTGCACATTGGTACCACTGACAGCAAGGAAGTAAGGGAGGTGGGGAGAAAGGGGGGGGGGTATGAAACTGTCCGTGAGCTAGGAACAGAGGGACAAGGGCGCGCACAGAATGTCATCAGCCAAGAACAATCATCAGTTAGCTGCAGCATGGAGAGAGAGAGATCTAAGATGGAGATTTTTTTAGAATAGCTTTATAAGGGTATAGTCTGAAAAGTTTTGATATATTATACTCTCATAAAACCATTACCACGGTAAGATAATGAACATATCCATCACCCTCAACGGTGTGTGGGACTGTTTCTGGTCTCTAGTCTACTTTATGGATCTAATTGTTACGCTAAAACCACACCGTTTTGATTCCTGTAGCTTTGTAACAATAACACCGCCCCAGGTACAGAGTAACCACTGATGCATGGGGCGGATTTTGGCAAGCCAAGGAATGGTATTACATTGCTCGGCTGCCGCTTCTGGAGCCCCTGAAATCAAATTCTTTGAGGTTAGCCTTTTAAAAGGCTGAGTTCTACATCAGTCTGCTTTGTGGGAACACTCAGGTTTTGAGCTGGGATTGTTAAATACTAGAAAACGCCCCCCAATTCCTTCTGTTTATAGACACTTCTGGGAAACATAGAAATCCCTTCTTTGATGATATCACAGATCTAGGCTTAGAGTATACGACCTCTTGTAAACCTAATCATTCTTGCATAGAACCTCTATTGTAACTGAATATTTCATGAATCTTTGCGAATGAATCTAATTTTAGCACAGAATTCTCAGATACTATAAGATTAACCCTATTCAGCTCTAGTTTGGTGGCTTTATGTTTGGGGATTTAATTTTTAGAAGCATGCATTGGTGTTCTGCTTCTGAGGTTTGGGTGATTAAGTGGCCCATGCAATATGAAGGTGGAGCTGATTTATGAGAAGTTGGTGCCTGCTGCTAATAACGATAAAGGGAGATATTTTTATGCTATGTTCTAAAATAGAGCTGATGAGAAATGCTAATGAAATCAAGGAGTGTCTGGGTGCTTCGGCATTAAAAAAAGAGTCTTTACCTTTGGGAATCTGAAGTATGATTGAGATCATTTTTAAGTACTTAGCTGGATGTTTTCAAGATATTTTTGGATTCCAGACATTGGATGCCTTAGTTAATTTCATTGATAACTAGTTATTTTCATTGATAATTCTCACTCATAGAGTATCATATTCTTAATCACTCTGAGTTTTTTTTCTTTACAGTTATGATTTAATCATTAGGGGAACGAGAGCTAAAGGGTAGGAGCTGTGTGACTTTGGGCAATTCACTATACTTCTCAGGCTTCATTTTCCTGATTTGTGCAATGACAAGATGAGCCCACATTATCTTGCAGGTTGTCAGCTCAGAAATTGCATGAGTTATACATATATTTCTTAGATCTACATTGTGGCTATAGAGTATTGGTTATGAGTACTCAATTGATAGAATTCTTTTTTTTTTTTTAAAGATTTATTTATTTATTTGAGAGAGCGAGAATGAGAGACAGTACATGAGAGGGGGGAGGGTAAGAGGGAGAAGCAGACTCCCTGCCGAGCAGGGAGCCCGATGCGGGACTTGATCCCGGGACTCCAGAATCATGACCTGAGCTGAAGGCAGTCGCTTAACCAACTGAGCCACCCAGGCGCCCTTGATAGAATTCTTTTATTGAAGAAAATGATCAGATCAGGGAGACCTTTGTCAGTGATCTTGTTTTTCTTCCTAAAACCCTATTCAGTTCCCACACGGTGCCTCCTGGGATGAGGGGAAAAAATACTCTCATTTCCAGAATATAACATGCCCAGACAGCAGGGAAACAGAAGAACCCATATTTCTCCAGCTCTGTCATGTCTTAAAACATTTTCAGAGCCCAGGCAGTACTTTGTTTAGTCTACAAAACAAGATGAGACCACCCAGTGATGAGATGAGCCTAGAGTTCACTTTCTCTGGATTTATTAGTGAGCTTCCTCTTCTTGTCTTTTGCCTATGTCACCAGGCTTTCTTTTCTTTTCTTTTTTTTTTTAAGATTTTATTTATTTATTTGAGAGAGAGAGAGAGAGAAAGCACGAGCAGGAGGGAAGGGTAGAGGGAGAAGCAGGCTTCCCGCGGAGCAGGGAGCCCAACGCGGGGCTCGATTCCAGGACCGTGGGATCATGACCTGAGCCGAAGGCAGACGCTTAACTGACTGAGCCACGTAGGCGCCCCAACCAGGCTTTCTTTAAAACAAAGTTTTCCAGAAGTCTAGAATAGAAAGTTGAGGTTACTCTACTGATTCTCATTTACTCTAATGAAATGGATTGGATTAGCTGCCAGATTTTCTTTCGACTCTGGGTCTGGGTGAGGTGGAGGTGAAGAATTTCAGGTAGAGGAGGGGCCCTGGGCCCCAGCAGCCTTTCACAGGGACCTTTCTGTGGCTGGGTCAGAGATGCAGATAAACTGCTCCAGATTCTGGGCCTGAAATCAACCCTCACCATCAACAGCTCCATTCCTATCAGCCTCTTCCATACAGCCTTGGGTCTGTTGGGGCCAGGCTCTTGCTGCCAGGCAGGCTTGCTTCTCCAGTCCCCTCCTGCCTATCAAGCTCTTGGAAACAACCGAATCATGACTTAGCTCTGGACCGTACTGACAAAGAAAATGGACATTTCTGAACATTAAAAAAGAAAAAAAAAAGACTTCTAGTCCCATTCTGACTTTTAGGTGTTGGAATGTGAACAGTCACCTCACTTACCTTTTACTTGGCCTAGAAATGGCACCTTACACAATAACTCCATGCTCCTGAGCCCTGGGGTGGGTAGGGATGGGGGTGACTCCTTGGTAGACAGGGTAGGAGGGGCAGGCAGCACCTGCATGCCCATGTAAAAGCAGCCTCTTCTCCTGGATTAGTCAGCTCTACTGGATCACGCAGCTTTAGTGTATACTGCTGGAGTCGTTGTCAGACCCAGGGGAGAGTTAGAAATAACATGTTAGGTACAAACTTGATTCTCCCTTTTGAAATAACAGTGTACTGGGGATTACTAAAAACTTTGAATTTACTTGAATGATTGAATATATGAACTCTTAAGTGGTTAAGACAAAACAAAACAAAAACAAAATCAACAAAAAAACCCTTTAGGGTAAAACCATTTGGAGTAACTTTTTTTTGTTGTTGTTGCCCATCAGATTCAAAATCTCCTCTTAGATTTCCTAGGACACAAGTAGGCTCCAGAAGTTATGGTTCTGGTTTGGGGGGGAAAAAACATCCAGCTTTCATTTTGGAGGAAGCCCATTATTGTGTGTACTATTCTACTCTTCCCCAGTGCACACGGGATCTGGGCATGGCGTACAAAGTGTCCTTGTCTAAAGACAGAGCTGGAGAGGAGGAGGTGTTTGTTCTCTTCCCCAAATGCCCTACTTGTTGGTCCAGTGGTCGTTTCCCACCAGGCGCGGGGGGAGGTTGTGAACTCCACATGAAAGAGGTGAATATTCACTTACCTGTCTATAGAAGCTAGACAAATATATAGGACATACCAGGGGAGGCTAAAGAACAAGCTTCTTGTCTCTGTTCCACGTTGGGCCAATCACAAAGGCAGAGGACAAAACTGCACTGAAAGATTGGGGGCGTTTCTCACCCGTTCTCTTCATGCTATTGGGTTGTAAGAAGGAATGCGATGAAGAATGGTGTTGGGAGGGAACTCATTATTGGCAGGCAGAATTAGAAGTGGCTCAGCAAGGGGTGCCTGGGTGGCTCAGTCGGTTAAGCGTCTGCCTTCGGCTCGGGTCATGATCCCAGGGTCCTGGGATTGAGCCCCACATCGGGCTCCCTGCTCGGCAAGAAGCCTGCTTCTCCCTCTCCCACGCCCCCTGCTTGTGTTCCTTCTCTCACTGTGTCTCTCTCTGTCAAATAAATAAATAAAATCTTAAAAAAAAAAAAAAAAGGTGGCTCAGCAAGAACCTCCATTAAAATAAAACTGTAGGTTTTCTTGCTGTTGACACAGGTTCTGCTTTGTGTTGATTTGACACTTGTCATTTAACACGAATACTGTTGTGGAATCCTAGGGGAAGGTTGACACCAAGTTACAGGCACTCAGTGTGGTCTGGTATACTTCCTATCTGCTACCAATTTTCAGGGTTGATACACGATTCCATATTCCTAGCTCTTAAATGTTTACAGAAAAAAAAAATCATATGATGAGTTAATGACAGCAATGATGACAAAAGTGGGCAGTTATAACGTACTGTGGAACATTAAAACCATATTTGGAATCATGGTCTTAGACCGGATTGAAGCTTCTATTTGTGGGCGGGGTACTGGACGGCGCTCTTGTGTTCTCTTGAGGTGCTAGGCTGCCCTCTGGTGGTTAAACAAAATATGCACACAGTTACTTTGCTCCTCTGATTAATCGACCTTCAAGAGCATGTTTGCATCTTGAGAGCAAATGCGTTTCTATCCCAAGTATCTTGCTTCAGTTTTTGTTTCCGTTTGAGCTCTGAAACTCAGATGCCAATATGAGATCATGCAGAAATGCTGGCTTTCAGAATCTTTCTTTCTAAAGGTGGATTTAGACTGTTAAACTCTCAGGTAATTTTATTTATTTATTTGAGAGAGAGCAGCGGGGAGGGGCAGAGCAAGAGGGAGAAAGCGTCTCAAGGAGATTCTGCGCTGAGCACAGAGCCTGATGCGGGGCTCCATCCTATGACCCTGAGATCATCACCTGAGCTGAAACCCAAGAGTCAGACGCTTAACCAACTGAGCCATTCAGGTGCCCCGCTCAGATGATTTTAAATAATATAAGCTAGATTCTTGTCTCCTTGGAAGGGGCAGGCACATAGAGACAGGGAAATATTGATTGGTAGTAAACGAAGTCATGTAGGAAAATCTTCACCTAAAAGGGCATTTGGTAATGGCACATTCTTTTTTTTTTTTTTTTAAAGATTTTTATTTATTTGACAGAGAGAGACACAGTGAGAGAGGGAGCACAAGCAGGGGGAGTGGGAGAGGGAGAAGCAGGCTTCCCGGTGAGCAGGGAGCCTGATGCGGGGCTTGATCCCAGGACCCTGGGATCATGACCTGAGCCGAAGGCAGACGCCTAACGACTGAGCCACCCAGGCGCCCAGTAACGGCACATTCTTAATTCATTAGATTTTTGTTTGTTTTCTTAACTGAAGACTATATAGAAAATCCTTTTAATTTCAACCTTTCCTTATAGAAGCATATTCAAGACATTGGACTACTCTCTCTGAATAGCAGACTATAGAGAACATAATTGAAATTTTGATTGGAGTTCTTATAGGGACGCAGAGTCACCTTTAGAAACACTAGGCCTTGCAACTACTCTAGAAATGTAAGGTATTGGATGTGGAAAGGAATACCTTTTCAGAGTTATCTCTTTTTTAATCTTCAGTGTCTTTTCCCTCTCATATCATGGCTTTCATCCTAAAAATTAATTGTAATGAAAAACCTGGCTGATTGAGGATTATATTTAGTAGAGGTTTTTTAATTCCATCTTACCCAAAGTTTCAGAAAACTTGGGCTATACTTATATAGTGAATATATAGTAATATTTAGCTATCATTTTCAGCCTGTGGTCCTATAATTAGGGATTCCTGAACAGAAATCCAAAGACATCTTGAGGCTCCGTGGACAGATTTTCGGGGCCCCATGACTCTCTGGGAATTGTAAGCAATAGTTGAGTTCATTCCCTCCTGTGCTCAGTTGGCAGACGTGAATGGAGTCATTGAGGAGGAATTCACCATGGCCCGCCTGTACATCAGCAAGATGAAGTCGGAGGTCAAATCCCTGGTGAACCGCAGCAAGCAGCTCGAGAATGCCCAGATGGACTCCAACAGGAAGATGAGTGCCAGCGAGCGGGAACTGGCAGCGTGTCAGCTGCTCATCTCCCAGGTAGGTCACCCCTTTCCCCTCATTTCACTCCCCTCACCTCCTGAAATCTGCTTCCTCTGTGTTCTTCCTGGGTCTGAGGGCACCTGACAGCGATAGATGATGGACATCACTTTACGTGAGGCTTGTCCGTGGGCTCCGCAGACAATGAGAGCCCAGACTTATGCTGAAGGCTAGATAGATTTTGTTGTGTGAATTACACGAATTACCTTCAGTCCCTTTTTAAGGGATGTTTCTACATGTTTCTATCTGTATACGGATACATAAGTAGGTAGGTAGAGATTATGAAGAATGGATGAGATTGGGTGGAATCTAAAACAACATTCTTTCATCTTTTAATCTCTACCACAGGTCCAATTTAATGTGTGAAAACAAACTATTTGCTGCTACTACTATTATTAATAATAGTGCAGGTATCATTTTTTAAAAAGATTTTATTTATTTGAGAGAAAGGGAGTGTGCGTGTGCACGCACACGCACAAGTGGGGGAGGGGCAGGGGCAGAGGGAGAGCAGACTCCCCGCTGAGCAGGGAGCCCGATGTGGGGCTCAGTCCCAGGACCCCAAGATCGTGACCTGAGCTGAAGGCAGATGCTTAACCGACTGAGCCACCCAGGTGCCCCACTGGTAGCAGGTAACGTTTTATTGAGCGTCTACAATGCTCCACACACTGCACTAAGCACTTCATGTGCATTATCTCACTTGATCTTTAAAAAAATCCTGGTGGGCAGGTTTTATTATTATTCCTGTTTTGCAGAGGAGGAAAGTGAGACTCCGAGAGATTAAATACACGGTTCAGACTCCTACAACCAGTGAAAGGCAGATCTGGGACTCAAACCAAAGCATGGGTGAACACAAAGCCTTGAAGGGGTTTGCGAGCCCAGGGCACATTTCGTCTGCTCAGTGAGGTCCGGCTGCTCTTCTGCCCGTTGAAATGGCGTTTTCATTTTAGTGGGGTGGTTTCGGAAAAGAGCAGCCTCGTTTCTGGTCTGCCACTGATATCTGAGCTTGGTGTTTGGGGCTTGAGGCTTCTGGGAGGGTTGCCGTGAGGGCTGCTTCACAGCCTTAGACCAGGCATTAAAACAGCTGAAATCATTTGCAGGAAACTGATACCAGCAGGGAGTGGTGTATCAAATAATACTGAGAGACAAAAGCGTACGTCATTCTGGTATGCTTGTAAACATGGTAACATGTCATCATGCAACCAGCTCCAGCCACCTCGTCTCCCACCATAGTAATCTAACAGATGCAAATTAACACATCAAGTTTCCATTTTATAACCAACGTAATAAGCAAAAATGCATTGGCAAGATTATTCAGTGTTGGTGTGGGATAGTGAAATTTATATACATTGCTGAGAAAAGTATAATTTGGTCAGTCGTTTTGGAAAGCACCTTGGGAATCAAAAACCACAAAAATGTAAGTACCTTGGTCCAGTAATTTCATTTATGGTATTTTTCATTGGTAATGAAAATGCAAAAATTTTATTTTTTATGTTTATTTCCTGATTAAAATGTGCAAAGCCTATATGGAAGATGTTGAGTGCAATATTACACGTTATAATAAAATAAATTACCCAAATATCTATTGATAGGCTAATGACATTAAGTTACATGGAAGATTGCTATGCAGCTCTTAGAAAAAATCTATAAAACATAGCCATTTGGAAAGTATGATTATGTAAAGGTAAATGAAAATGAAAATGCTCAGTTATATTTATGCTGTGCCTTATAACTTTATATAGTATGCATTCACACAGATAAGACCAGAGAATAGTTGATAAATTAAGTATGGTTTATGGGTGGGGGTGCCTGGGTGGCTTGTCGGTTAAGGGTCAGACTCCTGATTTTGGCTCAGGTCACAATCTCAGGGATATGGGATTCAGGTCCATCAGCTCTGTGCTCAGCACAGAGTCTGCTTGTCCCTCTCCCTCTGCTCCCTACCCCCACCAAAACAAATAAATAAAATCTTAAGAAAAAAAAAAAAAGAGTGGTTTATGGGTGAAATCTATACCACTTCTTTCTGGATTTGCTTTACTATTTGATATTTTTATAATTTAAAAAATTGGAGAAAATGATAAACACTAGGGCAGAGTACCTACACCTCAAATCTGATATCCAGGACACCTCTTGTACTGACAGCATGTTCTTTTGGCTAGTCCTGCCCCTAACATTTGGAGACCAAGGCAAGAGTACAAATAGAGGTCCCTCAGTCTGCAGCCCACTGTCTTCCCTTTCCATCTGGACGCACTGGCCCTTCTGTCCTTTGTGGGAACTGATAGCATGGTGTAGCTGTCAGCTCTCATCTGTGTGAATTGATGACAGGAGCTGCCGTGCCAGCCCTGGGAGTGGCCTTTAGGGCCACTGGAGTAGGGAGCTTCTGGGTTTCCAGTCCTCAGAGTGTGGTCTGGAAGGGGACATGGGTTCCATGTGGCATGCCCCCTTGGCATATGCATTCTTTGCTCAGTGGAGTGAGTGAAGCCAGAGGATGGCCGCAGTGGGGTGTTCACATTGTGGGGCCCAGGACTGAGGCTCCAGCTGCCCAAGTCTGAGAGTGACATTGACTTTGGGCATATGTGATCAGAGTCAAGAATATTAGCATATTAGAATGTTAAAGGATAGCTGTGTTAGTGCTTTCTCCATTAGCAACGAATTACAGCTTTCTGTTGGGTGCTACTTTGTACTCTGTTACAAGTTATACGGAACCAAATATTTAATCATTATTTCCTGGGATTCAAAAGTAAGAGAAACCTTGGCTCTTTATTTTCTGACGTGATCTAAGGAATCTGACAAAATATTTCCAGCTAAAATGCTATTATTTTCTTTGTTTACACTCAGCCTTTTCATCAAAAGCTGTGCTTATAACATGACTGCTCTGAGTCCCATTTCCCAGAGATTATTTCATGAGTTTAGAGCTCAGTCTCCAGGGTTTTCCTGCCTTAATGTGAACATGGTACATCTTGAGTGGGGTGAGTTTCTACGTATTTCCATCTGCTGGAAAGGGCCCACTGTCTTTATTCAGTCAATGAGCTTCCATTCATTCATTGGTTCCACTAATATTTTTTTTTTTTAAAGATTTTATTTATTTATTTGACAGAGAGAGAGACAGCGAGAGCAGGAACACAAGCAGGGGGAGTGGGAGAGGGAGAAGCAGGCTTCCCGCGGGGCAGGGAGCCCGATGTGGGGACTCGATCCCAGGACCCTGGGATCATGACCTGAGCCGAAGGCAGACGCTTAACGACTGAGCCACCCAGGCGCCTGGTTCCACTAATATTTATTAAGCATTGACTCCATACGCTCATGGAGCTGACAAGTAAAAGGAAATAGATAAATCATGTCGAATTGGGTGCTGTAAGAAAATGTTGGGACCCGAGTGATAAGGACTCTGGGTGGGTAGGGTGGAGCGCTTCCTAGGGAGAGGAAGATGTAAAATGCAAGGTCTCTGAGACATGGGAATTGGTGTGTTTGAGAGACAGGAAAAGAAAAGACACAATATTTGATTCTGGAGACAGAATCCAGAGGTGCCGGTTCTAAGAATGAAGCCTCTGCCCTAGACATTTTCCCAGTTCTTTTCTTTCCAGCACACTGTTTTCTACGAGGAGAAAAACCAGCTTGGGCTTTGGCATCTCGCTTAAGTGGATGGTGAGGAGGGGTCGGTGGGGAATGAAGCAGAGGAACACAGAGAGGAAACAGAGGGCCATGTTAGTCTGTGGTCACAGATCCCAAGCCAAGGGCAGAATATGCATCATTTGGGAGCTGGTACTTGAAAAAGGGACTCAAGAACTCCTCTATTGCATTTTCCCATCAGACAGCCCCAGGCAAGCCAGGAAGGCCATTGCTGGTCACTCACGCCTCCTTCTCATCTATTTGTTTTTTTAAAGCATGAAGCCAAAATCAAATCCCTGACAGACTACATGCAGAACATGGAACAGAAGAGGAGGCAGCTGGAAGAGTCCCAAGACTCGCTCAGTGAAGAGCTGGCCAAACTCCGAGCCCAAGGTAAATAGTTGACTACTTTGCAGGTATTGAGCTCTTGGCCTACATCACACTCTCTAGTTGGCCGAACTCATGATGTTTAGTTTTGCTCAATTATACGCTTTCTAGATCTGCTGAAAATAATGGAATAATTGGGGGGGGGGGTTAAAAAAAGAAAAAAGAAATATCTAGAAGATTGCCCCCACCCAAAATCTACTCCTCTTCCCACTTTCCTTCAGTCTACCCTATTGCCTGAGTCAGAATCTTCTCTCTTCCACCTCCTGCCTCTAGTCTGTCCCCATGACCTGTCCATTGGACCTGCCAGACGCTTGTCTGCTTCTGCTCATCTCCACCTTCATTTTTCTATCCTTCATCCTAATTAAGAGCTGTGGCTACATCCATCTACGGAGGCTGTCACCCCATCTGCTCCAGGCCGGCCGCTGTGCTGCATCCCAGGGAACTATTCTAAAATCACCTTCGATCTTGAGCCTAATCCCATGCCTCTGACCCTTCCGTGGTGTCCCACTGCTCTTAATATAGAGTCTGAACTTCTACCAATGGCTACCTGCACCCTCCATCTTTGGAAACAGCTCTTCCCTTTGCCGGACAGCCTCCTGATGCCCTTTGCTTAGGGAAGTGCCTGACACATAGGAAGCGCTCAATAGATATGAATAAATAGAAAAAATTCAAGAGAGGTAACTAGAAACAAACCAGAACAGATTTAAGAACAGACACATTGTGGTGAAATGGAAGACACATACCATGACTTGCAGTGAAAATTGTTAGAGTCCTTTTGGAAAGCATTTTGAAAATAAATAGTAATAATCATAACACTTGTCATACCTTTTGATCCTCAAATCTCAAATATTCTTTGCAAATTCCTTGTATGAGTGGGGGAAAGAAAAGGAAGCCACATAAATGTCCAGCAGTTAAACGAGCTATGGGATGTTAACAGAACATGTGCTTTGTTTTGGAGATGAAGTACGTGCAGGCTGTGGGGCCATGCTTACAAGGCGTCCTTAGATTAAAGGTCATAATATGTAACCTTATCTTTACTGTGGTTATAACATTTAGGAATCAATGGATACTTGTGTTCCAAGGCCTACAGATTAATATTTGAAATGAAAATGGTTTTGATAGGGAGTAGGATTGGTGATGATGTCACCCTTTTTTATTTCTTTTATTGTTAATATAGTTACTTGCTCAGTAAATACATTTTGTTTCAAATGCCAAGGCAAATTGAGAAGGATCGAGAACATCCTTACCCCTGCTATGACCTTGTCATGTTTTCTTTATGTGATAATGGATGAATGTTAGAGATAGCATGCTCCCCTTAAGACTTGACATGGAAAGGAACTTTTCTCTCTTGTAAATGGCTTCTGCAGTGGTGCCACGAAGTAGAAATAAAATAGAGGTGAGAAGATCTGAAATAAAGTAGAACAGACTAGCTAGAAAGCGTCATGACTTGAGTGACCATTTTGCTACCCCCTCCCCCCGCCCCAGCCTGCTGCTTGCTCCGTGTGCCCAGTGAGTACCCCTCGTCAAGAATAGGCTGGGACAGGCTCTCCCTGGAGTTGTGCCACGCACCAACTATGGGGGCCTTCCTGTTTAATCTGGACAGTGTTATTTTATATTTCTGTTTTCTTTGTTCTTGTCCTTAGATTTTGTTTTCCTGCTCTAGATTCTTAGAGAATAAACAGCGTACCCACGGGAGGTAAATTAGCTCTTTCTGGAACTCCAATAGTGGCATGCATCCGAGTGCCACTGACATTCACAGAGTGCTTTCTAATCTGCAAGGCAGGTTACTGTAAACCGCCTCAGGTGCTGCTCACCGAGGCCAGGGGCGAGGTCGGACACAGCCGGGGCAGTTCTGACCTCGAGTGGCCCACTCCCAGGTCAGCACCCCTCCCCCTCCCGCCCCCTCCCGCTGGAGTGGGCAGCCTCCGTGGGTCAGAAGTCTCCCCCGGGAGGCCCCATCTTGGATAGCATGGTTGTAATTGGTCATGTAAGCTCATGTTTCACTCAGTGGCCTTTCTTCCTTTTTTTTGGTCTTTTATCTTTCTTAAAAATATGTTTACTTTTGGATGTGAGTCCCGCCCGTTAAATCTTCAATCACATTTAAAATTCAAAACAGAAAAAATGCACGAAGTCAGCTTCCAGGATAAGGAGAAGGAGCATCTGACGCGACTGCAGGACGCGGAGGAGATGAAGGTGTGTACGCCACCCCTTCCCCGGAGCCCGGCGTGCGTTTGGACTGCGTTTTCTTCTTCTAGGAAAATCTGTCTCCTTCGGAGACGTGTGGGGCAGTGTAGGAGGGACGGGGGAGGGACCAGTGCCCGGCAGGCAGAGCGGTTCTCACAGTGCGGCCTGGCCCAGGACTGAGAGGAGGACGGAGGTGTCCAGAAGCCCTGAGAGGTCTGCAGCTAGTAGGCATGCTGCATGAGTCCGGGCTTCCTCCCTGTTCCTGGGGGAGGGGAAGGAGCAGCCCCTCCCAGTCCCCGCGTGGGCCACACTGCCGAGCTGAACTTCTGAGGAAGCATTTGCCCTTCCTGTGAATGAAAGAGAACATCTCTCCCCTCTTTTTAAAGAAGCACTCCAGATTTGGATTTCCATTGTACACATAGAGAGGTTTATTTTTGGTCACATGTAAAGTAGTGAAGGACAATGTAGGAAAAATGATTGGGAAATAAGATTTTTAGGTGAATAAAATGAGATATGAGAGGATGTAAGAATTTTGATTCATTTTAGGCAAACCCACAAGTCCCTGGGGGTGTAAGCCCATAGGTGAAAGAGTGCCCATGGCATGAGCCTGCTCCAGCCTCACCTTGATGGGCCCTCCTCCTGGTTTCACATCGCTTCGGTGGAAAGGTCTCTGAATATCACCATAAATCTGTGCAGTGCTCGGGGCAGGGACAATTCCCTAAATTTTACAGGTGAGGAAGTGTGGCTCACACGGGTTACGTGGCTTGTCTACGGGCACCTGGGTGTAGTAAGAGGTCTGCCCTCTGATTGACCTGGCGAGAGAAGCCATGTGGCTCAGGTGAGCTGTAGAAGGTCACAGGAGAGCTTTTTATTTAATTAGTGGGCTGATCTAGCTCCTAGGGCCCGCTGGGTTTTATCACAGATCTTTGGGTTTTGTTGTGCCAGTAAAGAAAGCAAGGCGGGTTCTGGGGGCCCCAGTTTTGGGACTTGACAGCCAAGGGATGTAGGGTAGGAGGTAGAAGCAATCCAGGGCTTGTCATGGTGTGGGCTGTGAGCCAACGAGCCGGTGACACATTTCTCTTGGCCTGGCTTGCAGAAGGCCCTGGAGCAGCAGATGGAGAGCCACCGGGAAGCTCACCAGAAGCAGCTGTCCAGACTTCGGGATGAAATCGAGGAGAAGCAGAAAATCATCGATGAGATTCGGGAGTGAGTCGGCCCAGGGGCTCTTGGGACAGGGGGGTGGGCATGGCTCTCAGGGCAGCCTGGAAGGACGTGGCTTTGAGCTGAGGGCTGCTGTCCTCGCCCTGCGAGCTCTGTGCTCTGCCCTGTGCGCAGCAGGCTAGACGTGCAGCTTCCGACGTCTCTTCTCCCATCTGGAGCTGAGCCTCTGGGGGCTTTGGTGGGGCAGGCGGCAGGCGGGTGCAGCCGCCCTTCCTCGTCCCCCGGGAGCCGGGGTCATGTCAGTGACACATGCCCTGGTAGGTGGAGACAGTCTGTAGGAAAATATATACCAAAAAAAAACCAAAAACAAAAAACCACCCAAACCCTACATTGGTCCTGACTCAGGGATTCTGATAGGCTAATAAATACTCCAGAGAAGACAGTCAGCTCCTGCTGCGCCCTCACCCCAACACCTAAATGCTCCCCGCACAACCCTGAGCCACCTGGTCACCTGCACGCACTTCTCAGGGCCCCGGGTCTGCTCGTGGACCTGTGGCTTTGCCAGGATGGCTCCCTTGCAGCTTGCCTCTGGTATCACCCCCCGCAGGGCCATTCTCCCGTCCCGTCACAGCCACTGAAGAACCCCTGCTCCATAATGACCTCTCCCCTCCTTCTCTCTGACCTTCCCGCCTCGTTGTCAAAACAAGGCAGCAAGCTGGGGAGTGCCTTCTGGATCCTCTCCTTGAGGGTTCTTACATTTTTGCACAGTGAGTGCCTTGGCAATCTTTGAACCTCTTTGCAGAATAATGTTTTTAATTGCCCCCAAATAAAAGATGAGGGAAAATGAGGAAAACCAGTTATGTTGAAACAGTTCCATCCACTAACACCCCCACCCTCATCCCCAAGATCTAGACTAAAGCCTCCCTCCGCTCCCACTTTCTGTAGATGAAGAGCCAGATTTCTGTATGGGGAAGCAAGGCAAGGTTAAATGAGTTTCTTAGGGTCACACGGCTACGTAGGAATCAACCTGGAGTTAAGAGTTTAATTCTCCAGGCTACTGATCCAAATCTCTCTTCACTGTGGGCAAGCTGCTCACACAGCACATTTGCATTTTGAAAGAGGAGAACGGTAATGAAGCAAAGTGTAAGTGCTGTGATCTGGGCTCCGTGCTCACTGCCTACCAAAGGCAAGTCCTTAGCATCGTCTTTGCCCCCCTCCTTTTGGGCCACCCCCATGCAGTTATTCATGTTGTTCTTTCCCCTTCAAGCGTGTCCTGCGTTCTTTATTCTGATTAATCACCCTCGACATGTTCAACTGGAGGGGGACAGTGGGGAGGGAAGGAGGGAGGGTTGGTGAATGAGTTAGTAGATGGAGAAGTTTCCTTGGCCTGCGCTTTCAAACAGACTCTGGGCTTTCCTTCAGAGAGTGTAGAATCTGTTCCTTTACGGATGCACAGGTAGGGCCATACAAAATGTTTTATAAATACTGCATGCAAATGTTGACCAAGTGCCCCCAACCAGATGGCAAGTTTCTTTTTTTGCCTCAGACCCTGGGCTTTCTTTGTATTTCCTCTCTCTGTACCCACTCCTTGTAGACTTCACACAGTGGCATTGTCCCTGTGTCAGCCAGGAATTTGGACTTAGGGGATGTTTTCAGATCATCAGACCAGAGAGGAAGGGATGGGTGAAATGGCCAAATAAGATTTCCTGAGTGGGTGCGTGCCGTCTGTAGGGCAGGCAAAGCAGAATTCTTCTGACCGTGCTCTCTGTTTTAAAATATCAGCCCTTTTCCTAGCTCATTATTTTCCCCCCAAAGCTCTTACACAAGCCAACTATAAATATAGTCTCAAAGCCTTATGTTTCATGCCTCTGAGATGTTCCCAGAAATTAGTTTTCACTTGGGCAGGGAGGAAGCTGTGAGGTTGTTCTCTGATCCCTCAAAATCCTCCAGAATTGCCATGTTTATTGCACAGAACTAATGGGGTTGGAACAGAACCATGTCTTTAGCTGGGTGCCTCGGAATTTCAGACTCATGTGCAATGTATTGCTTTTTCCCCTCAATTTCAGTTTGAATCAGAAGCTGCAACTGGAACAGGAGAAGCTCAGTTCTGATTATAACAAGCTGAAGGTAGAGGACCAGGAGAGGGAAATGAAACTGGAAAAGCTCTTGTGAGTGCACCTGAAATATTTCCTCTGTTTCTCTCCTCCCCACGGAGTCTTAGGGAAGTCTACCTCTGTGATTCCGATTCCTAAATATTCTGGTTAGGTTGGGCCAATGTAAAAATGGAGCCTATTTCTGTGAGACAGTTTTATTGATTCATCCATAGGTGCAAATGGTATCTGGAAATCTCTGATGCCCCTTTGGTGGTTCATGATCCCTTTTTGTTTTTTAGATTGCTCAATGATAAAAGGGAACAAGCCAGAGAGGACCTCAAAGGGCTGGAGGAGACAGTGGTACGTCAGCATGTTTCTCAACTCGTTTTAGTCCCAAAGACCCGATTAGTTTGTGATTTGTTGAATTTGTGTGTTCTGAAACTTGTTCTGTGCCCACCTTTCTCACATACCATTTTAGACAAAATATTTAGGCAAATACCACATAGTTAGACATTAAGACAAATACAAATATTTAGACACATCATTTAGACAAAATATCCCATGGAGAAGTGAGAATTGTAGAATTTATTCCCCAGCTCTTGATACCATGATTAGTTGTCAGTCCATCTGTCCATCCGTCCGTCCATCCATCCATCCATCCATCCATGCTTAGTGCTGTAACCAGAGGCCCTGAGTGAGAATTAAACTGACTTGCAGATCAATGCCTGAAACTTTACCGACTTTGCACATTGTGACTTATTTCCATTCAATATTCAAGAACACCTGCTAAGGGCTGACGTTCTTCTAGGTGCTTGGGTTGTATCAATAAATGACAAAGACAAGACCCTGGCCCTTGTGGAAGCTTGCCTTTAGCTGGGGGTGAGGGGACAGACAGTGAACAATAAGGAAGGAAATCATGACCTCTATTACATGGTTATAGAAAGTGCAGAGGTCCCACAAGGAGGTGATGTTTGAGCAGGGACTTGAAGCAGGTGAAAGAGAAGCCATGGGGATGTCTGGGGGAAGGGCCTTCCAAGCAGCGGCAATAGCCTATGTCAAGGCCCTGAGGTGAGCCCGGGGTTGGCATGTTGGAGAATAGCAGGAAAGTTAGCGATGTAGGAAGGAAACAAGAGGTAGGCACAGAAAGGTCAAGGCAAGAGTGGTTGTAGACCAGGTAGGGCCTTGAGACCCGCAGGTTTTGGGACACCAGAGTGACAGATCAAAAGGGCTCATCATTTGAAATCCTGGTTTCTCCATCCTACATCTGAATTCATGAGGTTTGTCTGCTCTGGTTGATTTCCATTTCCGCTGCTCTGAGGGCTCTTGAGAGTCCTGCAAAGTGCCACACAGCCTGTGTTTGAAGACAGACTGTCCCAACAGAACCTCTCAATTTGGTGAAAACATGTCCGGTTATTTCACATGATAAAACGACAGACTGTTGTTTAGATACAGTCATACATTTTTTTTTTTTTTAAGATTTATTTATTTATTTATTTGAGAGAGAGTGAGAACACATGCACACAAGTGGGGGTAGGGGCAGAGGGAGAGAGAATCCTCAAGCAGACTCCGTGCTGAGCACGGAGCTCCATTTCAGGACCCTGAGATCATGACCTGAGCCCAAATCAAGAGTCAGCCACTTAACCTACTGAGCCACCCAGGTGGCCCAATATAGTCATACATTTTGATTCCATTCATGTGTCATGTGAATTTATGTGGGACCATGCCTCCCAAGAATCTGGTGACTCCAGGCTGTAGGTACATTGTTGCTTAGGGCCGGACCTGATTGTGCACTCTGTTTCCTGGGCTGATGTTAGCTGCCCCTCAAAGCCGGGTGGAGAGACAGAGGGGACCGTCCACTCAGGACAGAAGTAAGATGACTGTGGCTCAAAGGATCTCCGGCCTTTCCAACATGGTGGAGAAGGTGGCTCTAGGGGAAACCGAAATGAAGCCATGAAGCTGCCTCATCTATGTCTGTTTTACCGGAGAAGTGACACCCACAGTCACAGATGATTCTAAAAATTCAGACAAATATTGAACTTTAAAATTCCCACTAGCCAGAGATGAGTGACATTTCAGTACCTTCCACCCATGAACCACCGTCCCTGCCCCCTCTCACCCACACACTCGCCCACAGGGACAGACCCACTGACACACTGGCTCCCTTTCTCTCTCCTGCTCTCACTCACCACTCACACACATCGCACACATCCACACGTGAAACCCCAAATCGGATCCCCACAGCATGTGTCATTTTAGGCTTGGTTGTTTTCACTTAACCTGCTGTTGGAATCCTCCCCAAGCTATAATGTTCTTCAGCAACAGGCTCACTTGGCTTTGGCTGACCTTACTTGAACTCTCCTTAGCTCAAGGGCTCTTCTGGCTTCTTGAGTATTTGGGTGGGATGGGGGGTGAAACCTACCGTGTAGGGGTTGGAGCCTTAAGCCCACTCCAGGGGTTGACGTTGGAAGATGTTGAGGGTGTCTTGGGGCCCTTGGGCAACCATCTTTTGCTTTAACAGGACCCTGTGGGCTCTGGGGCTGGACCTCTCCTGCTGTGTTAATGGGCCTTGGGTTTTCACCTCTCTGGGCTCATCCTCGCTGTCCCCTGTGACAGGAAGCTGAGCCCTGAGCTTTTACACAGAGGAGAGTGGCCTGTGACAGGGAAGGTTTCAGGGAAGTGAGTCAGGTGGAGTGAGGAAATGATGATATCGTGGAGGAAAATTCATTGCTGCGGGAAGCCAAATGCTAGCTGCCTAAGCTTAAACACGCAACTTGCAAACTGTTTTAAAGGTTTTTTTTTTTTTTTTAAAGATTTTATTTACTCATTTGACAGAGATAAAGCGAGAGAGGGAACACAAGCAGGGGGAGTGGGAGAGGGAGAAGCAGACTCCCCCCGGAGCAGGGAGCCCGATGCGGGGCTCGATCCCAGGACCCTGGGATCATGACCTGAGCTGAAGGCAGACGCTTAACGACTGAGCCACCTAGGCACCCCTTAAAGGTTTTTAACCACCCCTCCTGAATTGCTGAATTCACCTAAGAACAAACAAAAATGAGAAAGGTGCCAAACTCAGGACTCTGTAGTATTTGGTATTTAGGCCCCAAGGAAATGCCTGGCCCTTTGACAAGGGACCCATGTTTCCTCATTTCCCTTTGGTGTGGTGGCTTTTTTATGGAAAAGGTTTACTATGGGTGCAGTTCAGTCAGGAATAAAATCCCTGAAGCAGGAGAGAGAGAGAACATGCAGAGCAAGGGCTTGGGCTGCGGGGGGGGGGGTGGGGTGGGGTGGTGCTGAGATCCTTGGGCAGGGGGCCTGAACAACATGTCTGTAAATGTGAGCTCAGAGCTCACCCCTGCATCTGCCCTGGAAGGCGGCTAGGCCTCGGACAGGTGCGATGTGCATTGTGTTCATAATAACAGGCCTGTTTGTCTTCCTGCACAAAGTCATTTGCCTCATCTGAGGAAGCAATTGACTTTAGGTGCCTCTTATTTCAACACGGAATTGCAGACTTGGACCCAGTTAACAAGACCTTAAATTAACAGAGAACTTTTATTCCAAGAAACTTAGTGTTTCCATGGCTGTATAGTCGTTTCTTCTTCCTGTGAGCACGTGCAGGCTGAATCCCTTGACATTCTGTGTTAAGAGTAGGTCAACTTAGACAAATTGAGAAATTCAAACGCAAGTTTCTCTCTCTCCTCCCTCACGGGAAAATAGCTTGCAAGGAACTAATCCTATCTCTGGTAGTAAGAACATGGAGACTTGAATGGGAGGAATTATTTTGGTTTTCTGATCTTGTTAACAAAGGTCACCAGGTTTGACTCAGAGCCTTGTCTTCGCAATCTAATTCCTAAAGTTAGTTCATTTGTAGAAAATAATATAAAATGAAGAAAAAAATACCCCCAAGAAGTTAATTACAACATAACAATATTATGACAACAAAGGGAAACAACAAAAGCCTACTGAAGAAATGGCTGTCAAATATGGTGCATCAATAAGTTAATATTAGCCAGGGTTTACTGAGCACTTACAATGTGCCAGGAACGGCTGTAAGAGTTTTATAAGGATTACCGCATTTAATCTCGACAACAACTGTGAGGCAACGACTATTCATCCTCCTGTTACAAATACGAGAGCTGAGGCACTGGAAGGTTAGGTAGGTTGCCCAGGGTTACATGGGTATAAGGCCCACCACCTGCTTCATCCACAAGCTCAGTGATGTAAAGCCAACGCACATGGCCCAGGGCTAGAAGGGGGCGTGGAAATAGGAAAAATGTCAGTCTGCTAGGATGGGAGAGATTGTGGGTAACTTTCCGTTTAGACTTGCTGGCATTTTGTGTAATGTGTACGTGATAAATTAGAGGAAAAAAGAATCCATTCTGGTACAACATAGCCAACTAGGAATTTTTGTGAGAAAAAGTGTTAACTTTTGTGGTTGAGGGGAGAGAAAAAGTTCTATTGAGAACACTGCTAACGAGTAGGCTCTGTTCTAGTTTAGTTCATGGTTTGAGCTCCCAGTCTCTGCCCTCAGGGCAGTCTTGAGACAGGTGGAGGGGTGGACACATGTGGTAGGAAAGCCAGGGGAACTGTGGGAGCCCCGTGGCCTGGATGGTAGGCTCGCAGAGCAGGTGGGAACCACCTGGGTCGCTGGGGCAACCAGATGGGGATGGTCTGGTGTCCGATGTGTCCCAAATTCAAGGTGTCTCCCCCACTTCAGTGTCATTTTCACAATCTTCCCTTCCAGTCTCGGGAGCTGCAGACTCTGCATAACCTCCGGAAACTCTTTGTCCAGGATCTGACTGCCCGGGTTAAAAAGGTGCGTTCTATTTTGTGTGAACACGACTGAGAAGAAAAGGAAGATGGATAGAAAGAATCATTTGCTGCTGAACTATCACTTGCTTAAATTGGGGCTGGTTGTGCTTAAAAATTAATTACTTCAGGCCAGAAAATGTATTCAAAGAATGTACTGGGGGCAAAAAAAAAAAGTACTTGGGAATATTTTTCCATCTGCTTTTTTCTTCTTAGTAAAAGGAAGTTATAATCCTCTCCCTGGCCTTTCATTTCAAATGAGCACACACCTATCTAGCCGCAGTGTGAGAGCTGTTGTGCATGATGTGGGGAAAATCCAGGGGGTCTGGTCAGGCATTGCTGCCCTGACGCTTGGTGAGCAATGCCAGAAACCCAGAGAAATTAGAGGCAGGAGCCTCTCGTTTGCCCGTGAGGGGCCGTTCGGGGCTGGGTCGGAGTGTATGAAGCACTTCAGTGTGCGTCTTATTTGCTCTTCCTGGCAACCTCGTGTAAGTGGTTCTTACTGTGCAGTTCTGTCTTAATGGAGGTAGGCTCAGAGGTTAAGTAACTTGCCCAAGGTCACACAGCTGGAAGAGCTGGAGGTAGGATGGAATCCAGGTTGTGTGACTTCTGAATCTGGGCTTTGGTGATCCTCGTGCCTCACACAGTGATCTCAGGGAGTCACCGTATAGCGAATCCCAGAGCAGCTTGCAGAAGTTTCAGGAAGGAGGGAGAGGTGGGGGCGGCAGGGGGACTGCTCTTTAAATATGTTTAAACATGATAGAGGACGAGCAATGGGCCATAGCCAGCTGTGTAGTAGAATGGAAGGAAGGTGTATTTAGAAGTATGCACATGTGTGCCTATGTGTCTGTGTGAAGGAACCGGAAGCAAGGGAAGGAGGTGAAATATATATAAAAAAAAGAGAGGGTTGATGGAGTCAGATCTGAGCGGGACAGAATTAATAGCATAGATGGATGTATCAGCTTGGTAAGGGGAAGGGATACAATTTCCCAGAGAGGAGTAGTGGAAAGTTGAGATGGAGACGTGTGCAGGACAATACATAACCGTGGAAAGGTGCGTCTGACGACTTTGATCTTCTTAGTTAATGTGGAGGCTCTGTCCTTGATGGAGAAGGAAGAGAGACAGTGGAGAGCCCACAGAGCCTAGAGAAAGCTCAGGCAGCCCGGGGTGCGGGGAGGGAGGGGCAGATTTGTCAGGGATGAGTGAAAGGATTGCCGAGCAGTGGTGCGAGTGTCCAGCTGAAGGTCAGAGCATGGATTTGCTGTGGCCACTGACAACATGGTTCCAGGCCTGGAAACAAAAATAAAGAAAGGCAAGAATGATAGGAGAGTTTAAGGCCCGAATGGCAGTGGTGGGGCAGGTAGGTAGTGACCATAGTCATCAAAATAGAAATGGCCATCAGACCTGGACCAGGTAGGAGGGAGAGGCCAGAGCAGAGGGGATGGAGAGGGAGACTGCAGAGATAATGGCAAGAACTGGAAAAGCTCAGTCAGGGAGGAGAGGGTCCGAGGGAGCTTAAGATCAGGCTTCCCTGATTTCATGATCTAAAACTCTCAAGAAAGGACCTACTTGTAGACCAGTGGCTCTCAAAGTGTGGTTATCTGGCCAGCAGCTTTGGCATCACCGGCTAGACATGTGCATTCTCAGACCCACCCCAGGTCCACTGAAGCAGAGACTGGGGGTGGAGCCCAGCAATCTGAGTTTTAACAAACCCTCCTCTGGGCAAAGTTTGAGAACCCCAGATTGAGATAGGCATGCAGCCATCACCTCTCAGAAGAAGGAGGGACGATGGTCTCCTCTGTAATCAGACGCAGCAAGGATGCCTTGCCATTTTTGGGCTCCAGGATGTGTTTGCACATGTGTTTCTCAGTTTACCTGTTGGCCCAGGAGGGCAGTTTTTGTCCATTTCTAGATCTGATGAATTTCAAAGAGTTTATCCATGCGCTCAGATGCTGTGACTAGTTTGAGATGGATTCATTAAGTAATTTCATGGGATTGGAAGCTGAAGGGACAAGCAAAGGCCACTGAGACTTCCTGTTGGGACCACAGGCACTCGCCCAACAGCTTGGTGACTTATCTCAGTTGGGATGTTTGAAATCAGATTTAGGTCTTGGGTTTATGTTTTCACACTGGTTCTTAATGAGTTTTGGAACAGTTCCTTTTGAAAAGAAAAGTCTATTTACCCACCTGCAAGGGAGAGGTAAATTTCACAGAGAGAACTAATCTGTATCTTTCAAAGGAAGATTGGAAGTTTTGTTTGGTTTTGTTTTGTTTTCAATTCTCTAAACTATAATGCTCGGAAAACCCTTGACATCAGCCAAGGGAATTCATTGGGAAGGTCATTGAGTCTCAACTTGTAGAACCTCTGTTTATTTTCACTTTCAGAATGACCTTTGGTGGGATTGGGGTGGTGGTTTTTTATAAAGAATTAGAATGTTGTCCAGCTTATGTTGGGGCTGTGGGTGGGGCTGCCTGCTGACCGCTGGTGTTGGTGCAGAGCGTGGAGCTGGACAGCGATGATGGAGGGGGCAGTGCTGCCCAGAAGCAGAAAATTTCCTTCCTGGAGAATAACCTGGAGCAGCTCACGAAGGTTCACAAACAGGTAGGAGAGTTGTGCCAACTTCCTCTGCTTCTCTTACTCTCCCGGAAAGAAGCTCCACTGTATCTGGCCACAGTTCGGGGAGAAGGTTCTGCATCACCAGGGGACATTAGTGCCAGAAGGATCTTGGAGTCCTTTAATTAGTCTTCAGTGACTTCCCTTATATATAAAAGTCTTTTATTGAAGCCAGATGGAAGGAATCGGAGTTTGAGCTCTTGGGGTTTGGGAAGTGGGGTGTTCAGAACCCTGCCTTATCATCCTGCCTCTGGTTCCAGCCCTGGACCCACAGGCTGCACAGAATGCAAAGTGAAGACCACCGAGTCAGTTCAGGCCCCTCATTTTTGCAGATGAAGAAACAGACTGAGAGAGGAAGTGACCTGCTTTATTTTCTCTCTGCTCTGTTGCCCTATTTCTTGGGCACCCTCTCCAGTTCTTAAGACGCTCTGGAGTTTATCCAGAGGGACAGCAGAATGCATGGCCAAACCTACTGGTGATCTGGGCAGTTGTTTTTCTCCTTTCTGTATAACTACTGGAATGTTCATGTTTCCCCTAAATCCTAAAGATTTGGAATGTGATAAAAATGGTCCAACTTAGGGTATGTGCTATGGTGAGTGCTGTGAATTGTGTAAGACCGATGAATCACAGACCTGTACCCCTGAAACAAATAATACAGTATATGTTAATTAAAAAAAAAAATGGTCCAACTTGTTGGACCACATGGTTAAGGGGATGCATCTCTCTTGGACCTATATCCTCTTCAACATTACCTAGGATGGCATTTTTCCCCGAAGGGAGGACGACAGATTCAACATGGTTGAAGTCATTCAAGCAAATTACTGATGAGAAATATAGAAGCAGAAACTGCAGTCTGAGTTGCAATTAGTGATTTTCTAATTCACTAATTTGAAATAGGGCTCTGAAATTCATTATTTTATGAATTCAATGAATATTTTAATAAATATTAAAAACCTCTCTGCCAGGCACTGGAGCTGGTAAAGAATGCACGTGTGGCCTCGGGATGGGTAACCTTCATACATCACTTTCTGATTTTCAAAACTTTTCTGGATCCACTGGGATTCACACAATGGGCCTCTTATATACTCCCCTTTTTTATGGGTGAGAAACCCGAGATGTGTAGGGGTTGGATGACTTACCAAGTCAGATGTCAGGAAGTAATAGATCTGGCTCTTGAGCCTTTTTTTTTTTTTTTTAAACCCAGGGCAAGCCTGTTGCTTCTTTTCCTTCTTTCTTTTTTTTAATTTTAAAAATTTTCCTTCATTTTATTTTTACTTTAAAAGAATTTGTATTTATTAATTCCATAATTAGCAGACAGTGCTGTATTATTTTCGGGGATGTATCAGTTCAGCAATCCCTTACATTACTTAGTGCTCATCACCCTAAGTGTCCTCTTAATCCCCTTCACCTTTTTCACCCACCCCCACCCCCCACCTCCCCTCTGGCAACCACCAGTCTGTGGCCAGACCACCCTGAATGCGCCGAGTCTCACCCGTTGCTTCTTAACCGAGGGTCTTAGGTAGTAAGAGAACGAGCAGGATCCCAGGGTTACCTGGGAGTCTCTGGATATGTTGCAAAGTGGGTCCAAGCCACATGCTGGTGGAGACAACGCGTCCCGCGCGGGAGGAGGCCTACAGAGAGCTCTAGAACATGCACGCCTGTACCCAGTGCTTCTGAACTTGCCTTACACGCTCAGCTTTCACACGCTCGTGCTGGAGTAGCCAAGCTTCCTCACACTGGCTCCCCGACCCCCGCAAACCGAAGAGGAAGAAAATCCTGCCCACGCCTGACAGCTTCCTGTGACCAGAAGTGGCCGTTAATTTCATTCTGCACCCCTCCCCACTTCCTTGCACACAAGAGGCCTGCGTAGCAAACTGGAGGCGCCGGGTCCGGGACTTCCATTTTCCTCGGGCGCTCCCGGCGTTGGTGGTCCCATGGACGTCCTGCGCGCACCTAGCGGGGCTGCTTGTTTGGCCGCAGAGTCCGCTTCTAGCCGCCTTCCTGTCACCGTCTGCCCCTCCTGCCGGCCCCGTCACCTCCCTGGTAAGCCGCCCCCGTCCCCTCTCCCCGCAGCTGGTCCGGGACAACGCCGACCTGCGCTGCGAGCTGCCCAAGCTGGAGAAGCGGCTGCGCGCCACGGCGGAGCGCGTCAAGGCCCTGGAGAGCGCACTGAAGGAGGCCAAGGAGAACGCCATGCGGGACCGCAAGCGCTACCAGCAGGAGGTGGATCGCATCAAGGAGGCCGTGCGAGCCAAGAATATGGCCAGGAGGGCCCACTCGGCCCAGATCGGTATGTGCGCCCCTCGCGCCCCTCCTGGAAGGCAGGGCTCTGCTGCTCTGGGCTGTGTGCTCTGGAACAGCTGGCAGGCTATAGTCAGGCCGGCGGCAGCTGGGCTAGCCGGCGCCTCCAGGCACCCTGCATTCCCCCGGGAGACTGGCAGTGTCAGGCACCTGCTTCCTTATCCTGAGAGGTTGCAGCAGACACGTTGTGGTCTTGAGAGCTGCTGAGCTGAGCAGAGAAGGTGGCCAACTTAGGCTGTCAGCTGAAGGTATTTGGCTGTAAACGGAGGTACGTTCTCACAAGCACTAGAGCATTTGGCTGTTTCTCAGTGAGGCCCAAAGGCCCCTTCTGTTCTGTACCAGGCAGAACGGGAAGGGGCGCGGTGTAGCTGGAAGCCTCAGGGAGAGCCGCTTGCAAGGGCACGTTTGGAAGCACCTTGGAAAGAGCTAGGCTGGCCTCCGTGTGCCGGGTGTGGATCCCAGGTGGGAAAGGGGCCTGGACGTTCAGCCCCTGCCAGACCTGGATTTGGGCATTTTGCCTGAGCTGGGAATGGGGGTGTAGCTGCTAAGTCATAGTTCCCAGGATGGAGCCACAGGCGGTAAGGAGATTTAGGAATGTTCTCTAGAGAGCTTTTATTTTTTTAAACTGAAATGCCTCCAATAACATGTGATATTATTTCCCATCAGATAATGCTGTGCAGATGTTTTGTAAACCAACAACTTCATGTTTCTAGTTTTTAGATCATACCTTAGATTAATGTTTCATTGCATTTATTGGATTTCTTGCTCTTTGTAAATCTGGAAACTAGAAAGCTTCTTCCCAGAGAAGTGCATCATAGGCAGAAACCTGCACCCAGTTTCAGGGGCTACGCAGATGCCCTTGGAATCCAAATGTTCCCTATGGATCGGCCTCAAAGAAAATTGGAAGTCCTTCTAATTTTCCTCAGCCAGAATTAAAGTAATTGCTGTATAAGTTCTCTCTGTCCCCTAACCACTGGGTGCCCTGGATTAGCTAACTGTACTGTCTGGGAGTGGAGACATCCTGTTTTCAGAAAGGTCTGATGCTTGATGGGAATTGTAACGATAAAAATTGTGTGTCTTGGTTTTCACATGTGACCCGTGGGCATGTGGGTGTGGCCATTTAAGCCCAGTCTGAATGCTCTGTCCTTTCTGTCGGATACAGCCAAGCCCATCCGCCCTGGACACTACCCAGCATCGTCTCCGACGGCCGTCCACACCATCCGAGGGGGAGGAGGCAGCTCTTCAAACGCCACTCACTACCAGAAATAAATACGAAGTGAGTCCCTGGTGTCAGGGGTGGTTTCTGTCCTGGGCAGCCCTGGGGCAGATCCCTGGCCCTGCCTGGTTCTCATCCGTCTGCATGTGCCCCTCCAAGAGTGAGCAGTTCAGCTCTTCTGGAACAGGCCTTAGGGGTGTAGCTTACCTACACTCAACTCATTGCAGAGCCTCAGGGTCTTCTCGCTAGGGCCACCTGGCGCTGGGGACACTCCAGGGATGGATGAGGGTGTGGCGAATGATTCACCTGAGCTTGCTTCTGTCTGTGGGACTTCCCTGTGCCGCTGGCTTCCAGAAGGGCATTACCTGTTCGTCAACTGCTTTCGCTCAGAGCAGATAGATGTGGGTGGTTGCTTTAAGTTCCAGGAACTGACTCTAAAGCAAGAGCCAGATATAGAAAGTCATATTTTTGTAATTGCTTTCTGAGCTCAACAAACAGGAGTTTTTAAGAATCGTGCTAATTTATATCTAGGTAGGTCAGGACCACTTTTTTCTTTGAGACGGCGGTTTATAAATTTCTCTTTCTACAATCTGCATGTGTGATTCTGCTCTACCAGCAAACAAAGAAACAAAAAGGGATACACTTTAGAAAAGAGAAGGAGAGAGCACAAACTGTCCTTTTGTACTTGGGATGGAGAAAAGAGGTTACTCGTTGGGCAGGGCAGACAGACAACTCGGTGGCCAGAAAACTGTTCAGGAAAACTCTTGACTTTGCACCAGTAACCTGTGGGCGGGAGGGAGGAGCTCCAGATGCTGTCCTTGGACTCTGAGCCCTCACTGAGGAAGCTAGCTTGCAGGATGGGCCGGCCGGCGTGGCAAAGCCAACTCCGGAGAGCACAGAGTCCTCTCCTGTCCTTTCCGATCAAGGTACAGGACGTGAATGTGAGGGGCTGGAGCCCTCTCTCGGGATATGACAACACTGCGAAGGCTCACGCCAAAACTGCCAAGGAGGAAGCTTGGCGCCTGCCCCCAGACGGCCCTGTCCTGTGCTGCCCCAGGCAGCATGCCAACGAGCGGGACAGGCACAGGTCAGATTAGGGAACAGGAGGGAAGGCCGAGGCAGCCCGAGGGCGGGCAGCATGTCCACCGCCATCTGCCGTGTCCTGAAAGGGTGGATGGGAAATGGTCTTGGCAGCGGGCCACCCCATTCAGATCCGATCGCTTTCCCTTACAGATAAAATAATTTGGATGTCAGAAAATTGTCGTCAGTGTTGGGGCTGGCCCTCAAAGGGAACTGTAAGGTCCTGTGAGGCAACGTAGGATAGAAACCTAAAGCCGTGGTTCTGGAACTTGGGTGGGTGTTAGTATCACTTGGCACCCGGAAGGCTTTGTGAAGTAGTGTCGTGCCTGAGCCTTTGTGTGTGTACCGAGTACCCCCGGCGATTTCGTTAGCCACCAAAGTTCGGGGACTCCTGTCCTGAAGGAACTGTGGCGTCTCTAGGGCGGAAGTGGATTTCTCTGTCGTGTGAAGGAAATTTGAGGGTGGTCTGTCAGTGGCTGGTAAAGCGACTCTGTAGTGACAGCAGAAAGCTCGCCTTTTAAGTGTAGACCCCCTGTCCTCAGCAAGTACCTTCCTTCCTCAAGGTCACCTCGGTGACTTCTACTCTTCTAGCTTTCGTGCCTACACACCATGGTCAGCAAGCAGAGAGGAAGCCGGGAAGAGGCAAAAGCAGCTTCTCAGCCGAATCCGCGTCCTCTCCTGGCCCTCCTGGAAGTCCATATAGTGTGGATGCCTGGTCCCTCCGGCCAGATCTGAGGCCCATGGCCGTGTCCAGCTGCAAGGGGGCTGGAAAGCGGCCGCTTTGAGCTAGGCACATCACTGCCCCACGGAAGAGTAGTGTTCTTTATTTTTTATTTATTTTTAAAGATTTTAATTCTTTATTTGAGAAAGAGAGAGCGAGAAAGAGCAGGGGCAGAGGGAGAGGGAGAAGCAGACTTCCCGCTGAGCAGGGAGCCTGATGTGGGGCTCCATCCCAGGACCCTGGGATCATGACCCAAGCCAAAAGCAGCTGCTTAACCGACTGAGCCAGCCAGGCACCCAGGAGTACTGTTCCTTAGCTGAAGACGAGGTGATGGATGCTGGGGGGGCAACCAGAGCCTGCGCTGACTGAGCACCTACTATGCAGCAGTGCTGTGCTAATGTAGTATCTACATTACCCCCTTCCATGTAACCTTGCAGAGCGGTGGCTGTGCTTGGCTCCCGGCAAGCCCTCAATATGTACACTGGCCCAGGGATTCTGGGGTCCAGAGACTGTGCAGTGGACAGCCACTTTCCACATGTGATCCCATAAAGGTCTGTCGACCCACGTTTTGTGTAAGCTTCATACGACCCAGTGTTCCCTTGTCACACTTGAGATTGAGAAGCAGTGGGTCTGCTGAGACTTTTAAGACCTTCAGACTAACAGAACCACCCTCACCCATCCTGGTGGTCCATTGCTTTAACTTGAAGTGTTATAAGTGGATTTGATTATTTTACTGCAGTTAGAGCCCCCTTGACCCACTCTCTCCGTGCATATAACTCCTGTAGCTGGGCCGTTCCCCACGTCACAAAACAAATGGGCCCCTTTCTGGTTATCAGGATGGCGGTGTGGTAGAGAGGCCTGGCTTAGGACAGGAGACCTGGGTCAGGTGTTAGTTAGGTCTTCTACTCTCTTTAAGTTACTTACCCTCAGAGTGGGCTTCTTTGTCTGTGAAATGGGGAGAATCCTTTCCCTGGACCATTGGTTTTGAAATGAGGACTGACTGAGGTCACGCTTCTAAGCTGCTTGGCATCTAACAAGTGCTCCATAAAAACGTCACTGCTGTATAGAGTAGCAGTGCGCTACTTGGCACACAGTAGGTGATGGATGAATGTTGGCTTCTAGTCTCCTTGTTACAAAATAGTTTTTAGTCCCTCTCTAGCCCTAAATTCTAACCACTGAGTGCAGAAGGCCCATGACTGAGTATCCTATTTGATGCTATGACCAGATATAAGGTGTTTTAAAGTTATTATCATTTATTCATCTAAAGGTTATGAATAAGAACATTGACTATTTTTAAGAAAAAGACTAGGTATTTGTCAGTGGAGGTTAAAAAAAAAGGATAGTAGCCAGTGAAGTGGGAAATTGTAACTGGGAGTGAGAAAATGCAAAATCATTTTTTAAGAAAAATAATTGGAGGGGCGCCTGGATGGCTCAGTTGGTTAAGCGTCTGCCTTCGGCTCAGGTCATGATCCCGGGGTCCTGGGATCAAGCCGCACATCAGGCTCCTTACTCAGTGGGGAGTCTGCTTCTCTCTCTCCCTCTGCTCTTCCCCCCCACTCATGCTCTCTCGCTCTCGCTCAAATAAATAAATAAAATCTTTTTTAAAAAATGATTGGAAATGTGGAATTCATTGCTTAGTTGGGATCAAAACCTTTTGAGGTGATCTTTCCTGATCTTTGAGATGCTCATTCTGAAGTGTGTCTTCCTAGGGAAAAATGATCTCAGCTGCTGACTCTTCTTCCCAGCCCTCTTGTTGAAGCCAGAGCAGCATATTCATACTTGGGCAGCATTTGGATATCTTTGGGGTTTCTTTCTGCTTCATTTCAGGTTTCAAAGAATACAGTCACAATGAGTATTTTGGTTTATGCTCAAAGTTTCAGAGCGACTAAAGGTGCCAACATGGAGAAATCAGAACTCAGGATACTGCTGGCTTCTATCTCAGCTAGGTCAAATCCAGGGGAGCTGCCAGGGGGAGGAGAACAAGTACCAACCACAGAGTGACTGGGGAAGAGTAGCACAGACACTGGCTGGAAGGTGGGGCTGGCTGGCGTTATTTGGGGAGTCAGGAAGGCTGATAGGGCTGGAGCCCAGAGAACACAGAGACCTTCATAATCACGGTTGTCGGGAGAGAAGGAAGGGCCAGGTAAATGAGGCCTTTGAGCCGGGCCAGCAGCATAGAGTGCGATCTGAGTGTGTGGGGCCACTGGGGACTCTGGGCCTGGGAGTGGTGGGACCTGGTTCATGACTGGGAAAGGCCACCCTGTGCTGGACCCCATGGAAAGGATGGTGTGGGGGGGAGTCAGAGCAGGGGCTCCCCAGAGGCTCTTGCGGGGAGATAGATAATGTGGGAGACGGGAGAGTTACAGGCAGGGAGTACTGGCCGCCTGAGAGGAGCTGCAATCCGGAGCATAGGCGGAGGTGATGGGAAGGCGGAGGAGGAAGGACAGGTGCTGGTAGGTGGTAGATGGGGTGGCAGGGAGTTGGGATGGGTCTCATCTTAGTGCCTGTTTTCTTTTTTTTTTTTTAAGATTTTATTTATTTATTTGAGAGAGAGAGAGAGTGAGAGAAAGAGCACAAGAGGGGGGAGCAGGAGAGGGAGAAGCAGACTCCCTGCTGAGCAGGGAGCCCGATGCGGGACTCGATCCCGGGACTCCAGGATCATGACCTGAGCCGAAGGCAGTCGCTTAACCAACTGAGCCACCCAGGCGCCCTTAGTGCCTGTTTTCTTGTGCAAGAAGCCAGGTAAGCAGCAGGGAGGCAGGGAGGTGGGGTTGCAGGCTGGAGAAGAGATAAGGTGTGAAGTAGACCTCTGAGGCAGTACTGAGTGCTTATTCATGGCCCCACATTCAATGCAGACATCATTTAGATATCTCGTCTGGCTCCCTGGCTCTGCGGGCCCTGCGGTGGGACTTCTTCCAGGTAGTGCTTTGACTAGCCGCTGGCTGCTTGTTCAAGTGTGTCCACCAGATGGCGCCAGTGGGGCACCGCTGGAACCTCGCTATTTTCTAAAAGGCTTTGAGGCAAAAGGGTCTTTTGACTCTCCTTTATTTAGGCCATTATTTCTCGGATTTGAATAGTAAATACAGTACTTTTCAGGGGATAAAGTTCTCATATTACTCAGAGTTTTTTTTTTTTTTAAATTAGGTATTTGCAAATTTACAATAGCATATACTTAGATCTTACATAACTATCAAGTCAAAACAAATTTAGAAGTTAGATTGAAATGAACCATAAACCAAAATCAAATTACCAACCTTAA